TGTTTAATCGAGGACGGCCAAATGTAGCGAGTCTTACTAGCCAGACTGTTCCTAGCCACCAGGCTAGTAGTAGCAACGTTACAGAAAGAACCTTAGCGCTAGCTTAACGCTAAAAGTTGTACTCTCACAGGTGTCTGCAAACTGCCTTAAAGCATAGTCGCAATAGCCACCTTAGACTTTCATTCAATATTCTCAAGTTTCATTCCATATATTCAGCTTTTCATTATATGTATATTCAGACTTTTATTATATATTCTCAAGATTCATTCAATATATTTATTCCATTTATTTCCTGAACGGCTTGCCATAATGTGTGTGTGTGTGTGTAGACTGATTATTGCAGAACAGAGTTGTTATTTTTTTCCTCACCCTTTTATCTGCCGTTTGCCTTTCCCTCTCTGTTTGCCATAATTGTTAGTCTCCTTTCTTATCGTCTGTCCATTCTCTCTTTTGGTTTTATTCAGTTTCACTGCTGTGGTGTTACAAATTACACCGACTGGTCCAACACCACCTGGTTTAGCAGCCACAACAACACCGTGCCTCAAATAGCACACAGTGCACTGGCAGATTGGATCAACCAGACCTGCTTTACACAAAGGTAAATCACACAGAAGTTTTGACATAAATGCTGTGGGGGTGCGCATGTGGATTCATTCACATACACTCCATCTTTATTATTCTTGAGATTGTAAGCAGTTTGTGTATTTGCTTTATAAATGTTTTTAACTGCTTCTCCCTGTTGGCCTTGGCGACAGCTTTAAAATGGTAGTTATTTCACACTGGATTTTGACTCTATAAAGTGCACGAAATCAAATGGTCTCCAAATTCTGAGACAATAATGAATGAGCTGGATTTAAAACTGACATTTCCAATGTTCTTGTATGTGTACTCAGAGTATTTGTGCAATTTTTATTTATTTATTTTTATTTTTTTTTAAGGGGTGTGAAACCCAGCTGGAGCGCTTCCTGCAGGATGTGTTGACTTATGCCATGCTGGTCATTCTGGGCTTTGCCATCATCAAGGTAAAAATGGAGTGCAGTCACACTTCTGCACTTTTGAAAGGCATCAAAGTATTTCAGTAGCATATGCTTAATATGCATTGGTAACATGGGGGCATATACTGTATTTAGATACACAGCAGTGTAATATCGGTGTACAAGAGTGTCTACCTTTTGCTGAAATAGTTGGCTACACAATATACCCCACTGTATGCTGTGTTGTCCCTCTCAAATGCATGGATGTCCAGACATCACACTAGTTGTGTGATATGTTAGAGGTAGAAAACCAAGTTTAAGTAGTGTCAAGTTACTTTATTTGTACCTGTGGATTAATGTAGCTTGCAGTACAAGATAGTTATCCATGGTAACACACATACAGTAATGTAATCATCATACTGCAAAAGTGATAGTACTACATATTGGCATCATCACTATGGAACCTCGGTGTACAAATGGAAAATAATGACATAAAAATGTGTTATTTGTGCACAGTCTCTATGATTTATTTGTACCAATGATAGCTGTTGGGGCCAAACTCTTTCTATAATCAGTTTGTTCTACACTTTGGGACTACAAAACGCCATCCAGAGGGGAGAAGGTGGCTGTACAAAGGGGTGTGGGTCATCACTTAAAGTTGAGCCAGATAAATGCTGTACCTCTTTAGTATACAGGGTTACTAGGTCAGGTTATGACTCCCCATTCAACTTAGTAACCCACCTGATAATATGATTCAGAGTTCCTGCTTTTCACAGATAACAAACCAAACCATGACACAAAAGAAAAAAGATGAACCAATTCTATGAAAACGCCCTAAAATAAAATCATCATAGTTTTGTCAATATGAAAACGGGACATGCTTCTCAGGCACGACAAACACTGGTGCCGCCTTTTCCACACAGCCTCACAGTTTGCCTCAAACTTCAATTTTGTCTCGATTATTGATCCCACATATTTGTGATTGTACACATTTCACTGTCTGGTGTGGGTGTGTGGGCGTGTCTTCTGAAATCAGTTGTGGTGTCCTTGGTCTTAGATGCAGTAATGTTTAACAGTGATGTTGGTGATGAATGAATGAAATAACTGAATTAAAAACTGCAGTGTTGGCTCCGTCGAGGGCTACCCTTTCAGTATTTATGCAGTTGTAATTTATGAAAGCTGAACTCAGTGACTAAAGGAAAACATCTGAGTGGGGTTGTCCTCCTTCTTGTCTTGTAGGCTACTTTGTAGTTCTTATACTTTTACAGCAATTGAGTCCAATACTTGATCCTATCCTCACTTACTTCTACTATATATACACTGTAGCAGCCTCTTACTGCTTGTGTTCTACCACTGAGGTCATCTGTTCACATAACCTACGTTGCTCCTTGTGTGATTGCCTGTATTTTTCCTGTTTCAGTTCTTTGGGATGCTGAGTGTTTGTGTGATCGGCTGTAGAACCAGCAGCCAGAGGAGAGCCTCTCTATGCCTGAGACCAGCTGCCACCTCTTCGGTTTGCTCCACTAGATTTTTCTGACCACAGCAGACATCCTTATTCCACAGTATACCAAAGCACCCGGGCCGAACATGTGCAGATTTATTTAAATAATCGCATAGAAAATATACACAAGTGGCAAACTCATCTCATCTGAGGGTTCCTCTGCCTTGTTAAATAATTTTACTAAATGTGGACATGTCTTACAGTTTTGAGTCGGTCTTAATTTCTCTCTGGAGATTTTTATGATGGTCTTCCTAAACTTTCCATTTGGTTGAGCAGCCAAACGTTTCTGTACTGTCCTTCTCTGACAACACAAATTATGATAATGTACCATTTTTAAGAAATGTTTGCTGATGCACTTTGATCAACAACTGTTCTCTTGTGAAGTAGCTTTTTTGCCTCGAACACTGTCTGTGGACCTAGAGCAGCTGGCGTGACATCACAGAAGAGAAAAGGTGACCAAATAAATTCTTTTTTTACACATTAAAGCTTCTACGTGTTTGGCACACTGTCTCACTTTGCAGCATGTAGATATGCTTTTAAAGAACTTTGTTTTTTTGTTTGTTTTTTTTTGGAATGTACCGTAATGGAGGAGTTCAAGCTAAATTTTAAACTTCTTGTGGTGAACAAATTTAGTGCCTAATATAGGGCTGTGATATTTATAGCCAGCATAATGAATAAATACAGTGTATATGTATTTTTATGGTCTGTTAACTGTATTGATTTGTTCTACATTGTCTGACTTCAGTTATGTTTGTACATTAAAATGGTGACTATATCATACTAATCTTTAGTTTGGTGCATTTCTATCGCATTCTTGTTGCCTTGTTTTCTGACTTCAGACAACTTAAAACTACAGTATGTAACTTAAGTTAGCCCTACCACAAAACTCCAAATCAGTCCACTTTGCTCCACCCAGAACTCCCTCTTCCTACTCTACTATGATCTGCTACGCTCCTCCATGCTCTTCAGGTATTTGTGAATTACAGTAAAAAATATATATATAATTCTGGTGCAATCAGAAATAATTTAAGATCTGATTGGCTAGAGAAGTCAATCCCACTCAAAACCTCTTAGTTCCAAAACACGTTTGAGCATATTTCTACAACAGAGAAAACCACCTCTCTAGTTTATTTTTAAAAAGCATGGTGAATTCACAGCACACTGCTACATATTGAATGTCACCGTAAGTTGTCTGCTGATGAAGAGGCCCTCAGTGTTGCACATACAGTATAGGAGTGTTCATCTAACATAATCCTCAAAGATAAACTATTAAACTCATATCCCAGGGTGTCTAAGGCATCAATCATCATAGAGCACAGATTAAATGTGGGTCATGTTTGAGTAGGCTTAAAGTACAACTCATTTCAACCATCCCAATTATCCATTCACCTTTTTTTGTTAACGACAATTTCCAACCAGCTATGCATGAGCCCGTTTTTTTCCCCCCCTCTCCATTTGCCAGTTCCAGTATGTATTAAAAGTTATTTAATATCAACTGCTGAGCTTTTCCACACATCACCTTTGTTGCTGTTGTATGTGTAGTTGTGGTAACAGAGGAAGTCCTGCAGGTGGCGGTAGAGACCCTGCTGAGTCTTAACCAGTTGTGGTTGTTAAGGGGCCCAAAAACATGTTTCAACATAGGCTGTAGAAGATAAGAGTTCATATTGTGTTATTTAATTTTTTATATATTTTTATTAAGTAGCAAAATAGATGACTGCAGCACATTTGTTTTGATACAGTAATATACATATAGTTTCCAGATGTTTTTGACCTTGAAGTGATACTCTGAACTCCTTTGTGACTTCTTACTTGGTTTGGAGCTTTGACTGCCTTACATGGGATTAACATCTCTGTACATGCTGCTGTATTAATGACATCTGCTAATGGCCCTGCTGCCCTGTCCCAGTCTGAGCTCTTCTCATATCTTTTGACTGCATATCTTATTCAGTGCATATCCTCACTGCTCCAGGCTGCGCTGACATTTAGACAGACCGATCCTTTTCAGAGAGAGCATAGCTAGATAACCTTGTCAGATCTGAGACCAGTTTTCCTCCCTCCTTCCCTAAACTCTATCTCCTCTCTCTCTTTCGCTGTCATGACTCGTTTATCTCTGTGTGTTTGTGCATGCTCCTCGGTTCACCTTTCCTCGCCTGTCAGGAATATTTCTTTGCCTCGTTCTCTTTTTTTTTTCACATTTGAGGTGTATTTGTGTTTCTCTCTGCTGCCTAGACCGCCCATCAATTTTCTGTTCTGTACACTTGTTTTTCCTCACCTTCTCACTTTGCAGTATCTGTTGTTCATTTCAGGAGGTGCAGCATGAAAGCAGTGTTCTTTGTCAGTAATGCTGCATACTATAAAATAAATATGAACAGGATGTGTGTTTTGAAGTCAGTTATTCTATGCAAGATTATTTTCATTGATCTATTTGCAGGTTTTGACAAAGACAGAGGAAGGTTTTATGTTTGACTGAGGCACCCCACCATGACAGTGGGCCTATGTGTGAAGCAAAACAATGAGATAACTTGTAATTTGAAAACTTATCTGTGGATGGTGGTATGTAGCCTTATGTTTTTCTTTATACTGTAACTGAAAAAGCTAAAATTGTAAAGAAAAAAGGTTCATTACAGAAAGCACATCATCTATCCCACTTAAATTAGTATTGCATTTCTATAAGATGAAGAAACAAGTTAAAAAGTTGAATTTGAAGCAGCAATATACAGATAACCTGACTTTTAGACTCTTGTATGGCTCAAGATCCAGAAACACCAATCCTATATGTCCCATATGCAACTGGATAGTCTTTCATTAGCCCTTCCCTGTTTCCTAAATACCCACTTCTTTCAAACCTCTCACCTCAAGTTTGTAATGCAAGTTTTCTGTAAAAAAAAAAAAAAGTCTTATGCAAGATCTTTCTGAATACTTCATTAGGGTGACAACTATAAAAACAGAGTCGTGCCCCTTTAAATCTCCTGTACAGGAAAACAATAGACTTGGATACCGTGAGGTTTGAGCCAGGTTTTCTTTCCTTTTAAGGGCCTGTTCAGCCTTCACTCTCGTAAACATAAAATAGAAGAACGGTGAATGACTGAATTCACTGTGGTGAAAGTTGTTTGTGCATATGATTTACGAGTGTAACATTATCTACTCCCTTATGTGTCATCTTTGCGTGCTTACAGATGTGGTCCTTTGCTCTTTGGGTCATAAACTCTGGAAGAAGATTAATCACAAACACGCACTGAGTGAATCAACTAACCCAGATGTCGTCACAGGGAAATTTCAGCCTTACCTCTAATTTATTTATTTCCTTACCTACTTAGGGATCTGGTGGACAGAGGTAATATGAGGAGGACCCACACAATGCTCCTGCTCGGTGCTGAAGGTATAGATAGACAGTAAGGTACGCAGGTAGTTTTTATTTATTTATTTTGTCCAGAGAATCCCTTCATGTACTAAATGTCTTCTCTGAATTAGTTCTCTCGTTATACAACTGCCAGATTGATCATCACACATGTAACAAACACTCCTCCATAGGACAAAGTTGGCTTTTGAACTGTATCTTATTGGAGATGATGGAATGTTTGCTCTCATATTGGTTAGATTTTTATTCCTTTTTATAAAAAAAAAAAACCCAGAATACATACAAACAGGAAGCAACACTGTGACAGTTTCATATGAACGCCTTCACCCTGCTTTTCTGGGCAGACTCATAAATAATGTCTGTACGTTGTCAAGACCAGGGGCAGGGCAGGTGTTGCTGACTGTGTGTGCAGTTCTGTAAATAGTCAGCCACCACTGATACTGTGATGTCTCCATTTATCAGACGCTATCAGTGGTAATTAGAGAAACCAGCCAGAGAAGAGGAACAGAAACACAGTATAGACACAGTGAACAAGACTCAAATGGCCCAAATGTGCAGGAGCAGCAACAGTAATATGATATATTATCTATAATTACCTAAGATTAAGCTCGTAAGTTGTTACAAGAGACCCTTGCATAATCTAGTTCTGTTTTCTCCCCTTTGTTCCAGGTTCTTTGCCCGTTCTCTTATTTCTTTCTATACTTGTATTTCTTTACTTTTTGATAGTTTCAGGTAGTATTATTTACAAGATGTGTTTTTTTTTTGGCTAACTGTTTTTTCTCTCCAACTATTGCCTTTGAAAGGTTTCGATATAATGATCACAACTGATGTAAGAAAGGTAACAAGAGGTTATTTTTTGTTACTTTCTCCTGGCTGGAACTTCAGCTGCCACTATAATTGCTCTGATGTAACTACAACAAACACATTTGACAATTTCCTTTCTTTTTCACTACATTTCATTTGTAAATCCATCTTATCTTGCTGACACAGGAGAACGAGCTGACAAACATGGAAACTGCCCGCCGTCCCCAAAGCGTTGCTTAGCACAGCATTTCTATGTCACTTTTATTCTTCCAACAGCACCGGTTCTCCTGTTACTGTAATCAGGACAGAACCCAACAGATCATCCATCAGACTGCTGCAGCATATTTTTCATTTAGCTAAAAAGCCTAAATTAGTATGAAATGTGCAACAAATAGGAAACAAAGCCAAAGAATCCAGTTTTTGCCCATACATGTATTGCATATATGACAATTAAAGAGCTGTGCCTTGCAGAGTTGCTCTGATATCTTAAAGTTTGAAAAGTGAAGCCCTAATGATCTTTATGTTCCAATCAAGAATCATCTGCCTCTAATATCTGTATTCAGGATGGTGAGAATCTGTATTCAGTTTCACTTGGCAATATCCAGAAATATTCCTGTAACTTTTCTCTGTTCTTCTCACACTGAAGCCATAAGATCAGTGTCACTTTGCACAGGGTCCATTCTCCCCCAGCTAGCTCCTACCCTTTTTCTTGATAACCACAGGTTTTTGTACAATACAGCCTTTAGAAATTGCAAACACTGGAGCAACTTGTTTTTACTATGCGCTTGTTCTCTCCATCTTCATGAAGGCCTGATGTTGCTGCTGTAAAAATATTCATTCACTGTCAACATACAGTAGGTTCTAGGTTTCTAGCTTCCTTGCAAATCCACAAATCTTGCACCTGATGGATAGTGGTGGTAATGATAAGCTGTACTAAGAAGGAGGCTGGTTTAGACTGGTAGACCAGTGAGCTCAGCGCTCAGCGGAGGTCAGGAGCTTCTGGGAGTGCTCCAGAGAAAAGCAAGATGGGGAGAAGGAAACGGGGCGCTGGGAGGGGGGGGGGAGAGGAAAGGCTGGGCTACTTAATCATCCGTGGTGCAGTGTATAAGCTGTATGTGAAGCCTTTGTCTATGTCTATGAATCTGAATCGGGGATGATCCCTCCTCTCCTCTCTCTTATCGCTCCTCTGGAACACGGAGAGCGGACAGTCGCCCACAGTGAGCGGCTCTAAAGCAGCGTCTGGCTTATCTCATGTCGGCGGATCGCCCCCGGTACCGACCCGTGCCTACCGTTCACCCCCTGTATCATCACACCAACACGGAGAAGGTCGAGTTCCACTTTCTTTGCTTCCAAGAACTCGTATGTTCCACGTCTTTCCCTCGGATCTTTGTTTCTGGACGGGAGGCTGCGGCTGCGTAATGCTCCGGTGAGTACTGCTGTTATCTTTACATGTATTTCTTTCTTCTTCCCTTTGTCATTGCACACTGGACAGATACTGAGATAGATGAGATAACGTGAAGCTGTCCTGAGAGGGAAAGGAGCGCAGACATGTTTATCGTTGGAATATATGCTCTTTATGAAAACGGGGCTTTGTGTTTTATTAGATGCACTTCAATCTGACTGTTTTTGGGGCGTTACTGGAGTGTATGTAGGCACACAAAGGCAGCTGCGAAGCCAGTGTGCAGAGAGGATGCAGCGTTTCCCATCTGTAATAAAACTGCCTGAAGTAAACTGAGTTAAAACAAATGCCCGAACAGTCAGGGTCTGTTTGCAGCTGCACAAAGACTCCAACAGGATGTACAGTTGGCTGCCTTTGTTTTCTCCCATCTGCTATCACCTACAAATTTGTTAACATCATACTGACTCAGACTAAGTGTAGAAGAGTTGACGTTTCTTCCCAAATGAAAGGATATTTAAAGCCAGTATGATATTCCTGAGACTGTTGACAGACTGTATAGCAAATACAGACCTAACACGTTCAGATATTTTGTTGCACCGCAGCAAATCATTCTTACTCTTGCATAAGCTTAAGAAATGTGGAGAACAAATGCTCCTAGAGAATAAATTCTCTACTGGTTATGCATTATTTATAAAGTTAGCCCAGTGTTGCACCTCCCACCCAGCACCACTGTCGACGCTGCCTCTCTCTCTTTCCCCCAGTCTCCGTGCACTCTCAGAGCCTCTGACAGCCTATCTGAACAAAACCCAGACTGGCATGAGTGTGTTTATATATATTTGAGAGGCTGGTAACGAGCAGAGTCCACTTAGAGTACATAACTCCCTTTTCTATCAGGAAAGTCTGAGAGACAGGGCTAGCGCTTGTCCCTACCCAGTGGATTGATGGGGTGAGAGAGAAAAGGGCACTAAATCATGCTACTGCACAGGGGTGTAAAAAGGTCATTGCCTTTGTTTTCTACCACTATGTGACCTTTGTAGGTGTGGAATTACATACCAAAATGTCAGGTAGATCATTCATTTCATCAATAATGAAATGAAAGAATAAAAAGCAGACTTTCCATTGAAAATTGCTTAATGTTAATTTGTTCCATCCTGTCCAATTGTCTTTCTACTGTGAAAGGTCACCTGTGTTGTATAGCACATAATAAAGCATCATTGAACTGACATGATTATCCTCCCTAAGCAAACTAAATTGGTGGTTTAGATTAGGTTAAACTCCCATTCAGTGTTATGTAATGGTAATTCTTCTGCTGCAAAGACCCTGTTTAACACATAGGTTCTGTTGTTGTGTAACTTTCATCTTTATCTTTCTTGTCTCTCTGTTCACCTGTTTCCTCTTTTCCTTCCCAGCAGCAGCAGCAGCAGCAGATGTGCTGAGCAATGAACCTAATAACAGTCTCTTTCCATAGTGACCACAACCTGATGCTGAAATCCCTATATTCATGAAAAAACACCAGGAAGCAGATTACCGAGGGCCTAAACACATATGCACATGCAGACACAGCTGTAGGGTTTGGCTGTTGTCCCAGCTGTGGATCTTACTCTGAATGAACTTGTCTGACTCCCTGACTGACTGACTGAGAACACTCTCTGTCATCATGGAAGAAGAGGAGGAGCCAACAGTCCCATTAAATTTAAAACACATGACCCCACCTCCTTTCTTCTGTCTCATTATCAAAGGCTTTGGCTGCCTGATCAAGGTTACAGACTTGTAACAAACAGCAGAGGATGCAGTAAGAAAGAGGAGTGCAGAGCTGACTCTCTGCCGGTTGCTGTCCCACGATACGCATGTAAAAGCCGGATCAACCACACAGAGGGCTGTTTGTATGGATACCCCTGCCCTGGGTAGTATTAATAAGACTCGCTGATATTCTCACTATCTGCCTGTGAAGAAGATTAGAGGATTAGAAGAGAGATTAGAAGTGCATCCCTGTTCCAGACTATAGCCTAAAATAACATCTGTGGAAAAGAGAAAGACAATCATAAAGTGTGAAGAAGAAGTTTTGGAAGGAAGTTTTTAATATGTTTTATTATGATGTGCTGTAGGTGCTTTACTAACACATGTTTAAGTTTGTTCATTTGGATTTCACATATTTGGATCCTGTCTCGGATTCCATTTATTGCTCAGATAGTCCTTGTCCAAAACTGTTCAAAGATCATACATAAGACCTTACAAATTGTTTATTAAAAGGCTTGAAGACAGAAAGAAAGAGTAGAAGACAAGGTAAGAGGCTTCATCTTAGGTCTGCAGAAAATTATTCATTTTCTAACCTGCTTGCAATTACAAATACAAATTTGGCGGTGTGATAGCTCGAAGTTCCAGGGGCCTCTTTCTGGGCCTTTCCTACATGAAAACATCTACATGCAGTAGCTGCCCAAAGCAAAGCCAGGTCTCTAGTTAAGACTCTGGATGCACCAGCAAGATGAAACATTGTGTGCATAAGGCAAAAATAAAACAATTTTCATTTTGAAATTGTGTGAATGCATCAAGTTTGAACTGCCTGAAATCTGTCATCTATCCCTAATACCTCTAAACTGAGGTGTCATGGCCTTCCTCCATGGTTTTGACCTCAGTGGTCACTTTATTGACCTTCAACCTCTTGGCACGGGTGTCACTGGCCTGGTACTCTCAGCTATGGACCAACGCACCAGACAACGTGTAGCTATTAAAAAGCTGATGATGCGTGACGCTGTGACAGTGAAACATGCCCTGCGGGAGGTCAAAATCACCCGGCAGCTGCACCATGAAAACGTCGTCCAGGTTCATGAGGTTTTGGCACCATATGGGCGACCGCTGCCAAGGGACCCAACCCAACTTAGTGCACTGTACATTGTCCAAGAGTGCATGGAGACAGATCTGGCTCGGCTGCTGGAACAGGGACCGCTACCCTCTGGTATGGGAAACAAAAGAAAGTCTGAATTTTACTTAAAATGTGCTTGTTCATTTATATATTGCATCACCTATGGAAAGAGTAACAAAACATCCTACCTGTGTGAGCTTTACTTTAAATCCAGCAGATTTAGTTACTGTAAGTCAAAGTAAAATGTAAAAAATAAAAAAGAATGAAAGAAAGGGAAAAGATGTAGCTGATTTAAAATGTATTCACTGAGCTATGAGTTCAAACTGTAACACAAGCGCATGTTATAATGTGTCCTGATATCAGATTTTTGCCCTTGAACAGGTCATGCTACGCTCTTGTTCTACCAGCTGCTGAGGGGACTAAAGTTCATCCACTCAGCTAATGTCCTCCACAGAGACCTGAAGCCTGCCAACATATTCATCAACACAGACCAACTGCTGCTCAAGATCGGAGACTTTGGGCTGGCCAGGATAGTTGACCCTCACTATTCTCACAAGGTGAGAGTGAGAAGCACCAGGAAACCCAACACGCACACACAATCCCATACAGCATACTGTAAAGGCACTCTAACACTCCCATCATGGTAATCTGTCTCAGAGCTGTTTAGTGTCTGCAGTGTGTTACGAGCATGCACCGCAGAGTATCTTCATTCTCCACTTTCAACAGTATTCTGGTTTCAATAATGTTTAGAAATGATACAGTAAATAGTTGGCTAAGCTGTATACTGGTGGTTGAATGTCTTGTGTTTTAAAGTGCTCATCTACTAGAAAAGTACTTAGGCTAATGACCAACCATGATGTGTAGGAAGGATTTTAGGGTGATCAACAACACATGTACAGGCATTTCCACCCATAACCTAATTACTCCTGCTAATCGTTTTGGAGGCATGCAAATGTAGTCACATAATATTGGCTGCATCAATGTTGTCTTGTTTAAATGGGGTACTGTTTAATTCTTTGCTCTATAAAAATTTGCCATACTTTGACTATTTCAGTCATCAAATTTGATAAAGCTAGGATGATTTTTCTCTCTCCTCATTGCTCTGACGCAGTGTGGGCTGTTCTGCAGCCGAAGGATGGATCTAGGGAGAGTTTTGTAATATTAAACATTATCTCTGCTCACTCTCATTGAGGTAGAGCTGTTATCAGGGATGAGATAACTCCTCAAGCCCTGATCTGGTGTGGTTATCAGACAGCACTGAACTTGTGTAGCATGGACACACTATAGGAAGGGATACTGTTGAAAAAAGAATCCTCTTATAGAAAATCAATAGATTTGCACATGTTATGTGCATCTAACAGTTGAAACGCATAATAATTGATCTTCCTGTCTGGTGTCCTTTCAGCGTGGTGTCTCAGTTGACATCCTCACAGATCTGTTCTGACAAAGACACAGCTTTACACTGGCTGGCCAAATGCAGCTTGAATGTTACCATCTCAAACTGAAAAGTAACTGTTACACCTCTTTGAAAGATTCTGCATGTTGTGACTCCCATACAGCCAAACCGCCTTCTCTGATTACACATCCCCATGTCTGATGTTGCCGACTGGTGTCTTTCACAACAAGCCTCCTCTCCAGCCCAAACCCAGCTATTATAGTAACTTGTTCTTCCCAAATCAAGCATCAAGTTTTGTACTAATCAAATCCTGTGAGGAATGTATGTGAGGGATTCTGGGCAGATAAATGTGACAATTTACTGCTCCATTGTGCTGCTTTATCATGCACGACGATCCCACAGCAATAATGTTACACCAGCAAGACATGTGTTTGTATGCTTGTGTTTTGGGGTTTGTGTGTGTGGAGAGGGGCTCTTATGAAAGGCAGTCTTTGTCAGCTCAGAACACAGGACTGGGGATCAGCTGGGTGCAGACACGGGGTGCATTTGGAGGGGAGAAGTGTGGAGGGGATAGGGAAGCACAGAACAGATGAGGAGCAAATAATGAATATTGAGTTATGGAAAGCTGAGAGAAAGAGTGGTGGAGAAAAGAAACAAAGAGGGGACAAAAAAAGATACCAAATAGAGAGAAAAAGGGAGAAATGAAGGTAGTTTCATATTTATGTTGCAACGCTGTGTACCTACTGAAACGGCTCTGTCTGCCAGAGAACACATTGTTCAACTAACACTGCAGATAGATACTTACGTCTGCATTGATAACAGGAATGGAATGATAACCAGTAAAGGTGCTGGCGACACATTACCGTCCAATTTTAAACTGAATGCTGACATGGTTTGAATTCTTCTGAGATAGATGAGTGTCTATCATATCAGATCTGTATTGTAGCTCTCAGAACATCAGCTCGTCAGAAACATGTATTACCAGAGTTGTGTGTGTGTGTGTGTTATATTGTGTATGATGATGCATTTGTAAGGTGGTGCTGGGTTATTTGTGATGTAGTGTTCAGACCAATGTACATGCCTGCAGTGAATGTGCAAGCATCCTCTCTTTTATTTAATAATGTAGAGCCACAGGATTGCTTTCTCAAACATTTTGTGGTAATGAACATGGGCAGTACTGAGTTCAGCTGCAATGGAAATTCACAAATAATATTAACTTTCATATTGGGTTATAAAATAAGACAGGCGGTTCTGTTTTATGTCTTCATATTGCTTTTTAAAAGGATTCTTACATCACAGTGAGCCTTAATCATGCTTTATATGTATGCATATATTATGTCAAGTTTGACAGTCGGATGGGTTAATTTAGATTTCTAGTTCTCACTGCTATCATGTGCTCTTTTTTTCAAATAACTATAATCCAGCACACTGTGACTCTGTGGTGAATCGATATGAAGTCATTTGACAAGCTGTCTAGAAGTTCACCTCTGTCTACACAGGCAAACATTTACTCAAGTGAAGAGAGAAGACAGAGAGTTTGAGAAAAGAGAGGAGGAAACAAGAGGGGTAGAAAACATTATTTGTGATGTTGTTTGTAGTCTACACCCGTAGCAGCTCTGTTTGTGTGATTGTGTTGCAGCAGGGCTAAATCTGCCCAGAAATGATTTGTGACCTGGGTGAAGGACAGAGAGAAAGAAAGAGAGTAAAGGGGATAAGTGAAAATAAGGCATGAAAGGAAATGAAGTGAGGGAGATATACAAAAACATACAGTATAAGCAAAGTGCAGCTGTAGTTGACAAGAAGAGAAAGCGAGACACATGGGAAATGAGGTGAAGCAGGCATAGATGACATGGAGAAACAGAGAGGTGAGAGGGAGTTGACATAAAGGGGAAAGAATGAAGCGCAAAGTGGGAGGTGATAATAGCAGGAAGAAGGTCAAGAATAAGGAAGAGACAAAATAGTGAAGACAATAAACACTTCGTATTAGTGAATAGCTGTGACACAAAAGACTGCACAAAAGTGTAAATATAGATATACCATTAAATCTGCAACCACATCAGTGCATACGTTTATGAAAGTGAGATCAAAATATATTGCAAATATACAGTATATAACCTTTGACATGAAACATGGCCATTCCTTGAAAGTCACTGTCTATCAAAAGCAGAAAGGGGAGAATGACAGTCAGAGAAGACAAGGCGAGTGTGTGTTTGTCAAACCTTCAGTGAGCACTCAGCATTGGTTCCTGCTCTGTCATCTGCTGGCACACAGAGAACAGGCAACAATGAGGGGTGGGGGCTGTGAGTAAGGTTCAGTGAGGGCAGAGAGGGAGTTGAGAGCATAAAAGGAAAAGGCAAGAGACACATGATGTAGGTGTAAAAAGTGGAATGAGAGGAAGTGAGAGGTGCCACAAGAGGAGCACAGGTGCAAAAGGAGTAGATAGAAGAGAAGGCTGAAGGGAGCTGTCAGAGTAACTGTAGTTCTCAATTCATAGCTTCTATTAACAGTGCTGTGCTCGCTACTGGGCAAACCATTCAACACATTCTACATTCTAGGCTGAAATCTATATAGCAGGACATTGCTTGAAGTGATGTATAAGTGGGAACATTGGCGTGGGTAGACCACAGTGAATACAAGGGCTCTGAGTCATGCCCTAAACTCGCTGATCAAAAACACAATTCATCAGCTTTTGTAACCACCCTCGGTGGTGAAGAGGGAATTTGCTTTTAAGCTATCAAGTAAAATATAAAATGTTTTTGGGCAAGATCTAAAACACAATCATCAGAGTGACCAGGCCTTGCTTAGTGTGATGTTATTCTTACAGGTGCCCAAGGTAATTTAACTGGTGTGAAAAACTCACAGAGCAATTTCTGACATCTATTTTCAGCATGACAACTCATCCCATCTGGGTCGCAATAAATCCCTGCTGTCTGTAGGGCATAAGCCAACATGAAATAATTCTGGAAGGAGTACCAGATAGGAAGAGAGATAAGAGAGCAGTGAAATGGGAAATGGAAACAGTAGATTTTAGGAAAGGCTGATGGGACAACAGAAAGGGAGAAGAGCTGTGAGGACAGAGGAGGATGAGGTAAAAAGATGAAGGCAGATCAGACACTGACAGTAACCCCTGCCATCTTTGGGGGCCCCTTTTCCAATCCATAACATTAGCTACATTTTTAGGTGAACAAAAGTATGTCCACACTGTCCCTATTGGGTCTGTCACCATGGTGCAACTCTCAATATATATACTGTATATGTGTGATAATGTGTAAGATTTCAGCATATTTTGCCTGTACACTGTAGTCTTCTAGTATCATCACTGTCAAGACGTTTAAAAGCCTGGGGAAGTAAATTTTGGCTAAGGAGATACGAGGCCAGTAAAGGAACAGAAGGATTTAGAGATTCAGAGATTTACTACGGTCTGGTGAGTGGAGCAATTACAGAGAATTAGAGGTACAGTGATATTTCAGATGTGAGGAGAGCAACAGGCAAAAACATTTCACATTAACAAACCTGGTTTGTGTGAATACCTTTGCCTGTGGCTCATCTCCATGCACAGCTTCATCAGTGCTATTCAAAAAGTGAACATTTACAGAAGTACAAGGCAGAAGGGGGCCTCGCCCTAATGAGAAGACGTGTTGTTATGCAGCAGAGCATCAAAAGCAAATTCAGGTTAAGATTCAGAGCAATGTTTTCTGCAGAATGTATTGCATATTCATGTAGCTGATGTAACATGATGAATTGTTTGTGAGTATAAATAAGCTTACATTTCCTTTGTGTAGCTTGCATTACTGACTTCATGATGCTTCCACTCCAACAAAGATAACGATGAACTAACTGCCTGCTGGTTTGTAATGAATATGAGCAACTTGAAAACGTGCATTTCTTGACAGACTTAAACTAATCCATGATAATCGCTGGTAACAAGCCAGTCCATTGCATGCTCATCACTAATATAACTACAGTATTATCTTTCTGTTGCTCTGTCTTTTAACTTACATCTTTCTTCTATTTCCCTCTCATTCACCCCCTCACCTGCTCCTCCAGGGCTATCTATCTGAAGGTCTGGTAACTAAGTGGTATTGCTCCCCCCGTCTGCTCCTGTCCCCTAACAACTATACCAAGGCCATAGACATGTGGGCCGCTGGCTGCATCCTGGCTGAGATGCTCACTGGGCGCATGCTGTTTGCAGGTACCCCTACTGTTTGCAGGCTTTTACATCCTGACCTCGATGTCCTACAGAAACAATGCATTTGATCACACAATGAAATGTGATCATATCATTAGCTTAAAGATCTTATTTCTAAAGTCCTGTAAGATCTTTCTGTGAACTGGCAGTTGTTACATGTAAAAAATTAAACATGCAAAGGGTGAACTCCAGCAGTTCCATAGCAACAAACTCTGCTTTATTAGTATGCTCAGTATGACAAAGTCACTCAAGACCATTGTGCTTGAAGAGAGTTTTTCTTTTCAGAATGTCCTCCACCAGAAATACTTTATTTTCTTTCTGCTGGCCACTTCTTTGCCTGACCAGAATAACAATGATAAGATAGATATTCTCAGTGTCTGTAGCAGATGTAGCTCCTCGTGACAGGCTGATTTGACCTCCACCAGTCCTCTACACCACATGAGCGATGATGCCATACGCTCAGTGTATGACTGGTGTTCTTCTGTGTTAGAATATTACACATCAAGTGTGAAGAGATGTTTACCTTACTTTTCACTTAACCATCAAAGTGTACTTGGCACAATATATGTTTGTTTACCAGAGGGAAAGCATCTAAATATATTACTGCTGCTTGCTTCTTTCTTTCAGTGGTGAATGTGCAGATATAGCACCACCTGCTGGTTTCTATTGACTAGATGGAAACATTTAAAACGCACTGTAAAATCTTCATTGTATGACCTTGCTGGAAAAATGCTGCACTGCTGTCTGTGAGCTGAATACTTAAAGCATGTTACATCTCTGCTCTCTTACAGTTTTCAAAGGTAAAATGCACTTTGGGGACTTAAGGACTTGGGCTGAGCGTGAGAGCATCTGATTCCTCACATATAACCCTCAAACAAACCCAGCTTAAATGTTATGATTAGACCATAGTTGTGGTAAATGTATGGTAATATTAGAAGGATGTGGGATTTTCACACAAAACTCCCCCTGTGCACAAAGTTTTCCACCTGCTGTGGAAACAGTTTGGGTGTGACTGGAAAATCAACATGGCTGAAATTTCATCCCTCTCTAATGCAACAGTATGTTATTCAGGATGGATTTACTTTTAAACAAATCAAAAATCGGAGGGAGAAGAAAAAATGTGGATGCATGAAGTGACATTTTAAGATTTGAAGCAATCAAATAAAAAAAAAGTGGCTATTTTAATAGCTGGCTGTAGTGTTTTATATTAACTGACACTCTTTACCTTTGCATTTTTTGTTTCACTTGACAGCTTACACGTCCTAGTTATTCCTGTTACACTCTAATGGGTCACCTTTCTTCTGCTTATGTAACTGAGCCTCTGTGTCTTCTCTGTTTGTTTCTGATTGGTTGGTTCCTTCCCAGGAGCTCATGAGCTGGAGCAGATGCAGCTGATTCTCGACACAGTACCGGTGCTGAGAGAGGAGGACAGGCAGGACCTGTTACAGGTGACGCCTCAGTGGTTGCTGCAAGTCATTTGTTTGCAAGCTTATTATTTAAATATGAAACAGGGTGTTGTTGTAATGTCATGTTTGCAGCTTTAGATGAAAGCATTTAAGAATATAGGTGTTCACAACTCTTTTTAACAAAGATCCTTTAGATTATTATTATTATTTTGTCTGTCTGCTTTACTGTAGAAACACATTTGGCGGAGTGCAAGAAATGTACAAAAAGAGGTAACTACAACCAAATAAAATACATTTTAATCCCAGTGTCATCCTTTCCCAGGTGATGCCTTCATATGTCAACCGTGGATGGAGAGTCAAGAAGCCCTTTTCTGAATTGCTGCCTGAAGTGGATGATCAGGGTGAGTGGAGGGACTTGAATAGTGGGAGGAAGTGGAAGGTCAAGCAGTTATTACATAAAATGGAAGGCAAAAAAAAAGAGTAATGGAAGATGAGAGGTGGAAAAAGAGAAGAAAAAGAAATAGAAAAGAAGCTTCTCAGAGCTGTGACTGTTGAAGAGATGATAGGAGTGTGTAGAATGTGTTGAGTTCTATCATATAGTTTAGCTCTGATACAGAAATATTAATGAAAATATTTTTTAAGAAGAACAGACTTCATGGCCACTTCATTTTTTTCTCCTCCTCTTCCTCCCTCACTCATCCCCTCTTCCTCTCCTCTCAGCTGTGGATTTCCTTGAGCATATCTTGACCTTTAACCCCATGGATCGGTTGACAGCGGAAGCAGCACTGTCCCATGTCTTCCTTCAGAAGTACTCCTACCCAGAGGATGAGCCCACCTCATCGTCTCCCTTCCATATAGAGGACGAACTAGAGGACAGCTTCATCACCGAGCAGAGCCTCAGCACCAGCAACAGTCAGCCCTCCAACATCCACTGGGACAGGGGTGTAGATTTATGTTTTTATACACTTGTGGGGAATTTTTTCATTCATTTTTAGTGTGTTTTAATCAGAATGTTATATTGTGTCATTTTGCCATTGCTAGTTGTAGTAGTATCTAACAAACCCCTGTTTCACAGTGGCATGACTTAACGAACCTGATTTTGTTGATTTCTCATCATCACTTGTATCTAAAAGCCAGCACTGCACCTCAGCTTATACACTGTATTTATTTGGTGGGACCCAAAATATTTACTTCTTATTTGAGGCTCATTCACTGTCATATGTCACCCAAAATGTAGCTTTGCTACTGTATGCAAACTTCATTTTAATAGTCTAAAACAAAATTAACATTCAATCTAATGTCAAAGGATGACGGTTTTATACATGACACACTGGAAAAAAAAGGTAAGTCAAAGTGTAGCAGAAAAGCTCACTGAGATAAAGAAGCTACGTAAGATTGCTATGTGACAATACTGCATTGTGAACTTATTATAGGACTGATATACTGTAAATACCTAATTTCTTCCTTACTGCAGGTATGAGAGCAGTTTATCAACAGATGTGTGCTGGCAGCAGTCAGGTGGGAAGTGTCACTGCATCCCCCCTGGCCACATCACCTCTGACCTGGGAGACACCACAGAGGTTGAGGAGGTGCAGAGGGACCCCCGGGCCACTTACACCTCACTGTTAGAGGAGGCTCAGGTTGGATATGCTCTGTCACTTTGCCACACACAGAACTGACTCATATGTAATAGAATTATATTGTATTTTACTGAAATACAAAGGCAGTTATGAAGAAGTTGATTAGATTCAAGGTGCTATGCCAATAAGTCATCACATGGCTGAGATATGGCTGAGTGTGTCCTTAATTTTACAGCAGTGCTACTATATGTAACCACAGTTCTTATTAGCCTTATAGTTTCCCATCACAAAGTGGATGTTTCTATCAAATATCAAATAACTAATTGTGATGGAAGACTTTCCTTTTTTGTGCCATAAAGTAATCATGAATATTTCTTGTGACATCAGTCTGGTGGTAAACACTGTAAATTCACTGGGTCTGTTAAAGGTTTGCTATCATTATGTTTAGCATTTATAGTGTTTTGAACTTTATTTGGGTTAATTTTTGTCACTGTTACAAATCAACACAAACTAGATTAATTGTGTACTGTAACTAGAATGAGTTCACTGCAACGCAAGTGGAATTAATTCCTCCCTTTATTGTCTTCCCTCCTATCTTTTATCACCATCTCCCTCCTCAACTGCTGCTCTCCATCTATTTTACAGGTTGATCCACGCAAATATTCCCACAGTAGCTCAGCTGAACGCTTCCTAGAAAACTCTCCCTCCTCTCTGGAACGGGCCTGTGGTTTGGGGTATGGGGAACTGGACTGTGGCCGCTCCTGTGATTACAAAGTAGGCTCTCCTTCATATCTGGATAAAATTGCTTGGAGGGAGGGCAAGCCTCAACACTATTCGGAGCCTAAGCTGATACTGGATCTGTCTCACTGGAAGCATAACACTAATATCTTCTCTGTACCTCCTGAGCCTACTGGTGGCAACATGGAGGACCTGGGAAAGATGAAAGAGGACAAGGCAACGGAGGAGGAAGAGGACCAGACAGGGGATTTATTCCAAGAGATTTCACGCTGGGTGAAGAGCAGCCAGTGTCGTCTGCCTTCACTCAGTCCCAGTCCTTCTTTAGAGCCATGTTCACCCTCCTGCTACACATCTTCTCCCCCTCTCCCTCTCTCCCCAACTGACCTCTCAACTCCAGTCTTCCAATACACCGATGATGTGCAGCAACCAGTAGCTGAATATAATGAGCACAGACTAAGTCCACTCCCACCAGTCACGTGTTCTTGTAATTCTCTTCCATCACTTCTTCCCTCATCTCCCACCTCTCCACTTCCCCCTCAGTCACCTGAAACAGTGTCTCCCCCCATCTCACCACTTTCCCCTCCCCTAGAATCTCAACCCCTCTCCTCTGCTTCCTCCTTTTCTCAAGCAGCAAATGATGACTCCTTGGAGTCACCTCCTGTCAACCAAAAAGAGCGACTGTTTGACCTGGATGTATTCATATCCAGAGCACTGAAATTGTGCAGGCAGCATAAGGAGAAAGCAGATGGTAGGAAAGAAACAGAGGGAGGGTGGAGGGAAGACAGTAAACAGCCAAACATCAACCAAAAGGTCACCAGGCTTCCAGGGCACAGAACTCAGCCACCACAGACCCCTAACTCTTGATGTTGAATTATCATTTCAGGTCCACTGCATTGTGAGTAGCACTTCCAAATGCTCATAGTGACTTTACTAGCGAGGGATGTCCATGGCTGAACATGCTGCATAAACATTACGCCTTAGTGTTAGCAGCTGTTGTCCCTTTGATACCGCAGGAACATGCTACATGCTGTGAACAAAACTCTCTATTAAACAAGCAATCCTGCAGCTTTGTCAAGAGGTACTCTCAGGCAATAAGAAGTCAGAAAATATTTGGGTTAAATACATATAAAAATATGTAGTATGCTTCAAATTTGTTCTGTCTAGAAATAATCAGCTAATTAATGATTGTGCTATTTGTTTGCTATCATTGATAGTGACTTATTCTGTGACATAAGCATCTGCAAATAACTAAGGCGAGTTCTCCGGGCTACTGATAATCATAAACTACAGGAGTGGATCACTTAGTTTGTTTTAGGTTTGTTTTAAATTTGGTGTCAGTCAGTAATTTTTCAAAATATCAGTCTTCCAATGGTGACATTCACCAAATAATGACAGTGGTATGGGAAAACGCTTTCCCCAAGTTTCTGTGAATGTATTAACTGAAAAATAATCAATCAAATTATTCTACACAGTGAACCATAAGAATTTTATTTGTTGCTGTTTTAACACTCCCACAGTGACTTAATGAGCTAGGTCACTGCTATATGCCTTGTAAAATTGTTGTCATATTTTCTTCTATAATATTTTTCTCAAGACTGTTGTTAATGATATTACTGTGTCTAAAATAGTCTTTTTAGGCTATTAGACTAGTCAGTCTTATGTTAATTTAAAGTGAGTTGTATTTTATTCATGTGGAATGCTTTAAAATAATAATTTATGATTATTTCAGTTCTAGTCTGATAAATTAGTTTTTCCTGTCCGTCTGATGGACCAAACAGGGTCATCATCTGCTGTACACTTACTAAAAAGCTCATATCCGCTCTTTGCTAGACAGCCAGATATCTGTTACCATTTTCCTCATTTAAATTTTACTCACAGAAAGCTATAATGCAGACACCAATAGCCTATATTTTGATGAATATAGATCCTTTACAACGTTTATAGGAAATGATTTGTACTCAAAACTTTTCAGTGCTGCCCTATAAACATATTAATATATGGAACAGAAAAAAAAAGTATATATTTTGAAATACTTTACTATCCAACGTGTTAGACAGTAGACCCTCTAAATATTAGTTATTTCAGCATTCGATGTCCAAGGTGACAAAATCAAATAAAACATACAGTACAGTCAAAAGTATTTAGTAGATAAAGGCTGTTGACTTGTGGCTTGTACTTTCACAATCAGTTGCATCTGACCTTCACTTGTTGAACTATAAAGTTAATATAAAGCATATGGAAATGGCATTTAAGTTATTTGGCTGAGTTAGTGCCAAGAGGAAATACAGTTAAATCCATGTGCCCTATATTCTACAGCCAGAAGAAAAAGGAATCCACCATTCCTGGTGTCACTGTTTAAAATGCAACGCTTTGCTGTGACTGTACCATAGACTATATACTGGTTATGGCCCGTATGTACACAAGGGTGAAACTATTAGTAATGCCAGAGTACTCAGATGTATAAAAAAATTCAATATATAAAAAAAATCTTCCAGCATAGCTACAGTGTCCTCAATAAGATGTTTTTTGTGTCTTTAGTGTTCTTTCAGTCTAGCATCCAATAACCATTTTTACTCCAACTTCCAGTCAGTTAGCAAGTCTTTCATGCCCTTTTAAATATTAATTTGAATCCTTCATTTGATCCACTCAACACAGAACATTAGGATGACTTTAGTGCGACAAGAGTCGATAGCTTCAGTCAGAATGTGAACCACCTTCCCACAATGCAGCACTGATATTCCTTCCTGTTGTCTTTACAAATATTTTTGCAGTTGTTAACTGTTAATACACATACTGTATAATGTTGCTTTAAAAAGGTTGGCTTTCATAATTACTAGACCTGCTTCAGAACTTGCAGCTGTCATACACAGGATGAGAGCAGGTCATCACTTGCACAACATAGTATGAATTCCTAAGGATTGAGCCATATGTGAAAATTGCTGACAGTACAACTTATGATGCAGCAAAGCCAGGTATAACCTTTTATACTCACTATAAATGTGAAGCACATTTAGCGTCGTTAACACTTAGAATTACAGATTTCCTCAGTGACAACTGATACTCAACCACTGTTCATATCTGTTGGACTAACTGACAAAAGTGTTAAAGAAAAAGTGTAAACTGTCCATTTTTGGATCCAGATCCATGTCTCTGTTTATAGAAACAGATAAATGCTGTGCTGCAGCCTTACAAATTAAAATGAATCTATAGGTCTAGTGATCACATTTTCTATAATACAGTCTCCTCTGCAGGTAACCTAACCCAGCAATAATGTCACTGACATAAAACAAAAACCTTCTGTAACATGAGGTTGCTGAGCTGAAGTTCATTCTTTGAATTTTGTGAAGCAATGTAAAAAACGTGCCTCAGTACACCTCAATGCTTTCAGCTTGATGAATGTACTGTAATATGTCCTTTCTGTTCTGCTTGGCTTTCACAACTATTCACATAGCTGAGACTTAATTGTTTTTATTAAATGTTACTTTGTAAAACTGACAAATTTCTGTGGATTGTTTTTTTTTTCCAATTCATGCTTCAAGGAGGCCTCAGCTTTTCATTTGACAAAAGCTGTGAGGTTAACTGCTCAATATTGATTAACAGCATCTCTTTGCAGTTTCTGTTTTTTGCTGGAAAATTAAAAAGAAAACAATGCTTAAACTATTATTTTTCCTCATATTTTCTACTGTCTTGGCACATTTTATAGGGACAAGTACATAGCAGTGGCCATCTGTAGTTTATGCCTCTATGCACAGTCACAAAATTTAGCAGGAAAACATACACACATACAAAACAGGATAGAGCACAAAGAACAATATAATCAAAAAATACAATTAAAACCCAATGAAAATCTCCCCATCATATATGACTACATGAGTGACCTCTTTTTAAAAACTGTTTAAACTTAAGTTTAAAATGATCCTATTTATCCCTTTATTCTTTAATGTTCTATTGAGAGAGGAGCTGATTTCTTAAAAGTGATTTGCAATAAATGACTTTTAAGACCATGATCTATATAGCACGTTGATGCATATGTTTTTGTGGTACATATTCTCAAACAAAGAGTAATTAATCAATTTACCACAAAACCAACTGAAACACAGAGAATATGCTGCCCTTTTAAGACCCTGAAGGTCTGAAAGCCTGGGGCAGTTACATACTTTTCCTGAACGTAATCCAGCTCTGCAGGCCAATTCACCCAAATTTGGGCATGGTTTGGACATGAGTGCTCAGTGAGTACGAGCCTAGTTTTAGTTTGGGAACTTTAAGTATATATTGATACTAGTACTTTTATACTTTTACTTAAGTAACAGTTTGAATGCAGGATGTTTGCTTGTAACAGAGCATTTTTACACTGTGGTATTGTTACCTTTACTTAAGTGAGCAACCTGATCATTTCCTCCACCACTGCTAAAACCACTGCACAGTAGTGGAGGGTGTGAGGAAATAAATATTTCTTTCTTTATTAAAAATAATAATAATAAGAAGAATAAAAAATTTTTTTACAGTAATTATGGCTGATGGGCTTCTGTGCAAAGATTTTGCACATGTCACAGTCTTTACGGTAACCAAGAGGGAAATCCCAAACTCTGATTGGATGATCGACTACGTTCCCCTACATTATGCAGTCTCCTCTCCGCAACGCGACGCGGAGGTTGTGGACAATCGACAAGTGTTAAAATACTGAATTTATTAAACGAACTGCCGGAGGAATATGTTAAATAGACAGTAATCTGTCCAGCTGAAGAAACGCACTTTTGTAATATTCAAAAGCAGGTAAGAGGAGCTATTATTCTTTAAAACATGGAAAGTACGTTTAATGTAAGAAGTTCCCCTTTCTGAAATGATCCAATGATTCCGGTAGCTGAAACGGCAGGTTGATGTTAGAATATCAGGCTGAAGCTTGTTTCAGTTTGGGAGTAATGTGTCAGTTTAAAAAATACATTTATAAAACGCTATAAACCTTGTCAGCTTTTTTGGCATTGCAGGTTCGCTGAAATTTGTGCTAGCCTAACATAACGGCACAGCTCTGAGCTAGCCAAATGTTACCTTAGCTTGTAGCATTCGTTAGCTTGTGTTTATGGCTGCGTATGAGGTTGCTAAGCTAACCCGGCAACTTACCACTGTAACATTAGCTGGTAGTTGCAGTAACGTTGGACAATTTATTTGACATATCCATCTTATTTTTCTGTGTAAACGTAGTTATTATACGTTCACACTTGACAGTAACGTTCCTCCCATTCACTTTCATCTCTAAACAGTAGATGGACGCAGAAATACTGAGTGATGATACACAAGCATGCACGATGAAACCATGACGACTTAATGGATGTGACGTACTAGGGTTTATCATATTTACAGCATATGTTAGCCGAGTATGAAGGCACTGATTAAATGTTCCAGAATCTGTCCAGAATCACGGTGATGCTTAAACAATGTGCCCTTACTGACATTACCACTTAAAGTACAAGATCTCATTATATTTCTGTTATAGGTGACAGTATAGAGTTTTTCTTTTAGTTCGTTGACTCTGAATATTCAGTGTGAAGGCAGCATTTACTTTCTTATTTTGTGTGGACTAAAGTGAGTTTGCAGTAGTGCTTGCTTTTTGATGTTGTTCATAGCATAGTTTTAGGAAAATTCTGCCATCTGCATTTGTACATGAGCTTGGTTTATATCCTTCACTCCCAAAATATCATTCATGTTTTCCTTCAGGCTTTCTTTGTAGATGAGGAAACCAGAGTGACATGCCACATACAGTATTTGGTTTCTGTGACTGTTGCAATCTTGCTTCCAACTGGTGTAGCATGTTATCCGCCTGTCTGTCATGGTTTAACTTTATGTAAAACTCGGTGCCAAAAGGATTATGACAATCTTTCAAAGCTTTGTTTCTTAGATTACACACTAAATTACTGCAGTCCACATCAACATTAATGACTAAGCAGTGCTGTTGTCAACACCAAGTACATTCATAGGTATCTGTGACTGTGTGTCAGTAGGGCAATGGTTTTGCTGCTGGTAGCTTAATGTTGCCCCAAGGTACTGTATGATGGGTCTCATGGTGTCATGTGTAAATATCAGGTAGCAGTGTATTTAAGGTCTTGAATTTGAGAAGTAACAACTGTAACAGACCACTGACTTCAAGGTTTAGTTTCATCATAAACATTCACAAGTAGATTTTTCATATTTTTGAACCTGGTGCCAAGCTAATTCAGTAAAAATGTATCCCTGCACCTATTGTACAACAACATAAGCATAAATCAAAACCCTGGTAATATTTGGCATCCAAATCTGACATCCCATTGCAGCTAGTAACTGCAGCTGACTTTGGCACGTTTCATAATAATCCTACCACACAGGAAGTTGAAACTGGACAGTTTAAGTTTGTTAAATGCGTCTCTCCTTCCTTTTTCTGCAGCAATCCATCAGTGCACTTTCCAGACCACTGACTGTTCGACATGCTGTCCAGACTGAGGACAACCTGGTCACTGAGGCCCAGTGTTTCTATTTGTAGAAGGGCACACACCAAAGAGAAGGGCAAGCCCCTCATGCTCAACCCTCGCACCAACAAAGTGAGTGGAATGCTAAAGCATTTAATTTGTACACATGGCAGTTAAAGAGATGGCAGCTTTATTAGCATGACTTGCAGTTTGTCAACTCCTTTGTGTTAGATCCATGCCAGTTCGGTTAGAGTTAAGCATAAGCTTTATAAGGCTTTGTATGTCTGGATAGAACATAATTGTAATGTATGTCAAAATGGTTATAATATTTTGTGCTTACATGGTAGAAAACAATACAAAGACAATGAATGCAAGTCAACTGGAGAAAATGCAAAATAAAATGGCTAGTTATAAACTGTTTCTTTTTGACCAAGGTTTTGACTGTTACTCAAGTAAAGCTACTGAACCCTTTGACTTAAGGTAGAATTGTTGATGAATATTGATGAATGTGGACATAATCCACTGATAAAATTAGGCATTTTGGGTAGAATTTTGAAAAAAGTGATTGAAGAGGAACTTGACAGAAAGATGAAAAGCATTGGTCTTTTGAAAATCTGAGCACACCCATATTTGTTGCCAAAAAAACCTATTCGGTTTGCTAGTATCCAGTTCTTTTGGTCCATATGTAAAAGAGTCCTTGGGCAAGACACTAAAACCCAAGTTGATCCCAGTGGCCAGGCCAGTGCCTTATGTGGCAGCTTTAAAACCGTTAAGGTAGAAGAGTGCTAGGACGTATAAGTGCAGTCCATTTACCATTATTAAATTTGTATAATGTATATACCCATTCAACAATATCACATTGTTTGATACAGTACCTTGCATTGGATGTTCAATCTTTTATTTGATTGAGGCTGTATTTTATTTGGCTGGAAGGGGTCTCTTGTCAGGATTTTTCCAATGGCTGAATGTTACTAATGACATTTGTAACATGAGGCTGTAGCTGTGTGAAGAGACCTCACACTCTGTGTAGACTATGCAAAAGATAACCTAGAATACACATGGTGTGCTAAATATAGACATGCCAACCTACTGTATATGTAAACTGGTCACAGGGTAGCTAGCTAATGATCACAGAAATATTGTACGCAGCACAACTATGTTCATAGTCTGGCCAGATTTTGTATCATTTCTCCAGTTTAGAAATTCATTTGCTGATCAAAACCAACTCAAGTGTGAGAAGATGCTGAGATGAAGGTTTGGGGCTACAGGATTCTAATGCTTTTCTTCAGTGAACAGTTTGGCTGTCTGGTTGTGACGTGTATTTATATGGCAGTTTATCTCATTGTGTATTGCATTTTAAACACTGCAGATGTGGCTTGCATCTGTAAACCTCAACAGTGAAAGGTACAGTGTTGCAGAAATGTATACAAACACACAGCTGAGCAGACAGAGAGGAATGGATGTGAAGGACCACTCCATAATGCAACAATCAGCCAGTAACAGAGACTGTGTGAGCAGTTTATCAAACAGCTGTGAAACAAGAAGAACACACATTTGCACAAATTTGCCTGTCGTTCCACTGCCATCCAAAGCAGGCTGGATGGCAGCGGAAACAAATGTAGAGCCTGTGATGAGCGTTGCACAGCTTGACATGTTTCCGTAGGTTCCTATGATAGAAAAACCTCTGAAGAGTTCAGAAGTTCAGAGTTGAGACTGTTGGTGTAAACATATTACATATTTGCATGCTCACACTACACTCTTTTAAAACAGTGCTGCCTGTTGAACACTTACATCACTTAAATTACAAACCCCCCTTTCCTTTTTTGAGTTTGTTGCAGGCATCAAATTCTAAATTTGTTTTGTATTTACAAAATGTAATTAAGTTCGTCAGTGAAAACAGGGAAAACCTTTTCTTTGTACTTTTGTCAGTTAAATAAAGGTTCAAGTAAAGTAACAAATCACAGATTTTAGTTTTTATTGGATTTTGGAAAATGTCCCATATTTTCTGGAAATGGTGTTTGCAACTTGACTTTATTCTTTAACAAAGTAGATACCTACATTGTCTCCTGTCTTTGTGTGTGTCTGTTTCTCCGAAGGGCATGGCCTTTTCTCTAGAGGAGCGACAGATTTTGGGGATACATGGTCTGTTGCCTCCCAAAGTGGAGACTCAGAACCTTCAGACTTGGCGCTTTCAGAATAATCTCAAGAAGATGACTGACCCTCTACAAAAGTAAGGGCATATTTTGCTTAAAATGTATGTAGTATGGCCACAGAATAATCTTATGTATGCAGTTTTAAGCACTTTTTATTTATTAATGTACCATCTAATATAATATCTGTCTCTAGCTAATATATCTTTAAACGCGTTCCGTATGTGGTTTCACTTTTCTTCTTTCCTAATTTTTTTTTATTTTTTTTTTTTATATACAGGTACATCTACCTGATGGGCATCCAGGAAAGGAATGAGAGACTTTTCTATAGGGTATTGATGGAAGGCATAGAGGAACTGATGCCAATAGTCTACACTCCTACTGTAGGCCTGGCCTGCACACAGTATGGAAACATCTTTAGAAGGCCCAAGTAAGCATGCAGTAATGTTATCAAAAATCAACTACAAAAAAGTAAAAGCTACCAGACGCATTGTACCTGTAGCACTCTTGTGAATTAATATCTGAAGGTGCGTGAACTGAGTTTTTGCACATTATCTGATAAATCAAGTGAAAAAGAGGCAAGGCGTGGTTCTCTCAGCTATTCTAGCGTTTCATTTTTATAAAGTTTGTGACAACCAGGCATCTGTAGTTTACATTTTTGTGAGGAAACAGGACATGATGCAAGGGATGAAGAGTGGTTAGGAGCAGCTTATGGTGTCAGTTTGAAATGAGTCTTACTAGACCCTTTAGCTGCTGAAAAGAAATTAGTTAGAGTAGCTTTAAGACGAAGGAAAACAGAAATGAATGGCTATTGTGTGCACTTCCACCTGCCTGGCTTGGTGTGCACAGGGTTCAGTCTCCTGTTCAGGAGAGTGATAAACCTGGAAATACTTCTTGATAACGTATGGGCTTCAGCCAGAGCTGCTGGCATTTTTGTAAAATGTTGTATGGGTGTTAAATTTGTGGCCACACCTGGACTATAATAAAATTAAGAACATTATTATAGTGGACATGTATACCTGTTTTTAGTAGATAGATTTTTACTATGATCATTAAAGTTGTCAACTACCATCTTGTTTCTCTCACCAGAGGCCTGTTCATCTCCATCCTAGACAGAGGACATGTCCGCTCCATCCTGGACAACTGGCCCGAGACCAATGTATCAGTGAGTACCTGAGAACCTTACCACAATAATACCTTCTCAGCTAATACCTCTGTTGCAGTGTGAAAGAGACTTCTGTAAGATGTGAGATGTCGGTCACTTATAGACATGGTTATAAAACTCTGAATTTATAGAATATTAAAAAACAAAAACTACAATTACAGTATCACAGTACTGTATGTCTAGGGAAGTCTTGCTATCATTTGGATTTTTAACATTTGCTAAGGTTCTGTTCAGTATTACTCAGAATTGTGTTAATGTTAACTTCGATGACTAATGTTCTTCTTTTCTACGTCCTCTTTTACCCACCCTTTCTCTAGGCAGTAGTAGTAACTGATGGAGAGCGTATTTTAGGGTTAGGAGACCTTGGTGTTTATGGAATGGGTATCCCTGTTGGCAAACTTTGCCTGTACACTGCCTGTGCTGGCATTAGACCTGAGAAATGTCTACCGGTGGTGATCGATGTTGGCACAGACAATGAGGTAGGAATCCTATCTGTATGTTCTACGTACAGTATGTGTGAATATTTATGGAAGTAGGACACTTTGTATATTTGTCTCTATGTTCTTTCCCTCCAATCAGACCCTCCTTAAGGATCCGCTGTACATGGGCCTGTACCAGAAGCGAGACCGCTCTCAAGCCTATGATGATCTGATTGATGAATTCATGGAAGCTGTAGTGGACAAATATGGGCACGGCACACTAATCCAATTTGAGGACTTTGGGAACCACAATGCCTTCCGCTTCCTTAGGAAGTACAGGGAGAAATACTGCACCTTCAATGACGATATCCAAGGTTCATATAACTCCTCACACAGCACTTAGGAATTCTACTTTTTAATATATTATGTGTACAGATAATTTCACTTTGTTAAATGATTCTGTCTTAGTTTCAGATTTATTTTCTGCCTTTCTGGGAGCTTTTGGTGCTTTTATTCACCATGAAAATAAAACAAGAGGAACCTGAAATTTGCTTAAATTAAGAAATCTATTACAGTGAACATATGTGATCTTTAAGTCATATTACTCCTGTAAGGTAATACAGCTGCAAGCAGAAACTATTTGTAGAAGTCACCTGTGGTGAGTCCAGTGAGCTAGTGACAGCTGTCATTTGAGAACTGGATGCTGAGACACGATGCATTAACACAATAATAATGCATTGCATTGTCTGAAAATCAAATCCAGAAGACGGCAGTGTAGCTGCCTCTTCAAGGCAGACAGTTGATTGTTTTACTCTTCTGTTCTTATAAATATTTCCAGGCACTGCGGCTGTAGCCCTTGCTGGTCTGTTAGCAGCTCGGAGAGCTGTTGGTATACCCATCACTGAGCAGCGGGTACTTTTCTTAGGAGCTGGAGAGGTAAGCTGTCTATTAATCAGTCTTGAGTTCTCCTGTTTTTGCTTTGTTGCTTGCCTTTTAATTTTTTTTTTTCCAAAGGTCACATATACAGTGGCAAGAAAAGTATTCTTTAAAATTCTTTTAAAACTCTTTAAAATTACCCGGTTTTCTGCATTAATATTTGTTTCATTAATGGGCCTCCAGATTTGCTTACTCCTGACTCCAATGACCTTTTGGTTTATGGCATTATCCTAGGAGTTCACATATTCTTTCCAACATACACTGACTGTTTGAATGAGGTATTCAATACGGACAAGAACAATACAACATTTTGTGTTTTATTAGTTTAAATAGATAGTTTCTGCACAGTTGTATGTTAGATGAAGACATGGCCATATTTTAAGACAAACTATATTTAAATGCTGATTATTTCAAAGGGTTCACATTTTCATCTTGTCAAAAAAGAAAAAAAGGCCCAATTGTAGGCGTCATACTGGTAATTCAATAAGAAATAACTGGTTTATAAGATACGGCACTGGCATTGCAGGAATTATGGTTCAGGCAGTGCAAGCCACATATTTTTATTTGACTAAGGTGCTTATTGCATTCATACCTCAGTGAAGAGACAGCCCACATTCTTTCTTTAAGTCAAAAGGTGTCACTCTCTCCACTTGTCGCTTTTTTGCTTGTCATCATTGAACATAAATGGCTAAATCTCTTAAAAGTCATAGCCAATCAGCACCTCCAAAGTGCATTTCAGTTTGAAAGCAGAAATCCTTTTTTTAAAATTGTGGACCAGTGTAATAACATTACTTAAGAACTAAAAATAATCAAAACCATGACAGCACTGACCAGAACTTTTAGAGAATGAGGATTTGCTTTGTCTTTCTATAATTAGAAGCAATGATTTTGCTATGGTTACACCATCTGAATATTTTAATTTAACTTAATGAGGTTGTTTTTTTCACAGGCTGCCCTTGGTATTGCCAATCTGATTGTCATGGCCATGATGGAGACAGGGCTGGCTCAGGCTGAGGCCAGGAAAAAGATCTGGATGTATGATAAAGATGGCTTACTAGTAAAGGTTAGTGTGCGAGACTCAGGCATTAATAGCCCGAGCACACATTAGTCTGTGTGTCTTCCCACCTAGCTCACTGCTTGTACAATGTATACACGGTGAACACTGATTTTACGATTTTATTGATTCACTGTATGTGACTCCAGGGCAGACCACAAGAATCGGACATTGATCAGAAGCCATTTGTTCATGACAGTCCAGGGAATATAGAGAGCTTCTTAGATGCTGTCAACACCATTAAACCCACAGCTATCATTGGTAAGGAACTTCTCATTTTCTGCATTTGTGAAACTTTAAACTTCTCATTACAGTTTAAAATATGCATTGTTAAGTTTTAGCCATTGTGCACTATATGTGGCTTATTGTTATTAGCTAAGCAAAATGGAGTGTTGAATCAAGCAGTCAAGCCTCCATTTCAGCCTCATTGTCCTTTATGCAAGAATATATATTTTGCCGTTTTCAAACACTTGCTTTACCTGACTTTACAAGTTCATGGCATCTATTGTTTCTCTCTCCCACTTTCAGGTGTGGCAGGAGCTGGGCATCTGTTCACCCATGATGTCATCAAGGCCATGGGAACTCTGAATGAACGACCAATCATCTTTGCTCTGAGTAACCCAACCAATAAAGCAGAGTGCACAGCAGAGGAAGCCTACACACTCACTGATGTACACAGTTCTGTCTTTTGTTTTGCCTAGCTCAGCATTAAGAGTTCCCGTTTGTGCTTTTTATTAGTTGGCTTGTTTCCTCTAATCTCGCTATCCCTTTGTTTCTTTGTCCCTCAGGGTAGGTGTCTTTTTGCCAGTGGCAGTCCATTTAGTCCAGTGACTCTGAGCGATGGCCGTGTCTTCACTCCTGGACAAGGGAACAATAGTTACATCTTCCCAGGTGAACAGAAAGAAAAAGCCAAACAGTGTGATGCCATATCAGTATATAGCATTAAGAAGAAACAAATCCAAGTGTTTAACTTTCAGTGATGCTTGCACTGTGGACAAGTATCATTGGATAACAACCCATTGTTAAACCCACGATGAACGCTGTGTTGCAGGTGTGGCCCTGGCTGTGATCCTGAGTGGAGTGAGACACATCAGTGACACAGTATTCTTAGAGGCTGCTAAGGTCTGAATTAATTTAAACATGCTGATGTTCATCTTTACCTCTGGCTTACCCAGTTCTGCATTTTCTTGCTGACTTTGTCTTATAGTCATATGCTTTATATGTTCATCTAAACCCTTTGTTGTCTCCTGTTCTCTCCTTTTCTAGATTCTGCCATAACAGCTAACAGATAAGCTTTAAAAGGCTGATCTTGCTTTGTACTTTTTCCATCTGTGTTCTTTCCTCTTTTTCTGGGCTGCATTTAACTTCATAATACTAATCAATACAAATTAATGAATGCCAACACTCTTTGTTCAGTACTGACAGTTATTTGCATGGTATTAATATTAGTAATACTACTTTGGCCATTTCTGTCACTTGACCCAACAGTTCTTGGTTTTTAATATGTTATTGTTCTTATTATGACTTATTTTGAAATGGCAAACAGAAACATAATGCAGTAGACAATCAGAGTAGTATTCATCTTTTTGAGCCACAGAAATTCATTTTCAGCCTCTAAGCATTTTTTTTTGCTCCTTCCAGACCCTTGCAGAGCAGGTGACAGATAAAGAACTCAAAGAAGGGCGACTCTATCCTCCCCTTTCCAACATCAGAGAGGTCTCTCTCCAGATGGCTGTTAAAGTAAGACTCCAAAAAAACACTCACTTTTCTTGCTAATAAAACTGAACTGCTCAACTTTGACTACTGATGAACCTAAATTTAGCTTCTTTAACATCTGATTGCACAACTTTATGACCCTGTTCCACCACAACCTGACAAACTTTGTGACCCCTGGCATTCAGTGTTGTCAACTTAACTTTCTCGCTAGATTTTAAGGGTGTAACGATCCATCGCTCTGAATCTGTCCATTGATCGAACACCCCGCGATCTAATGACATTGATGCAAAATGTAAACATTGACATTTTGTGTTTTATTTTGACAGCCAGCCACATATGTACAGGTGCTGGTCATAAAATTAGAATATCATCAAAAAGTTGATTTATTTCATTAATTCCATTCAAAAAGTGAAACTTGTATATTATATCCATTCATTACACACAGACTGATATATTTCAAATGTTTATTTCTTTTAATTTTGATGATTATAACTGACAACCAATGAAAACCCCAAATTCGGTATCTCAGAAAATTAGAATATTGTGAAAAGGTTCAATATTGAAGACACCTGGTGCCACACTCTAATCAGCTATTTGACTCAAAACACCTGCAAAGGCCTTTAAATGGTGTCTCAGTCTAGTTCTGTAGGCTACACAATCATGGGGAAGACTGCTGACCTGACAGTTGTCCAAAAGACCACCATTGACACCTTGCACAAGGAGGGCAAGACACAAAAGGTCATTGCAGAAGAGGCTGGCTGTTCACAGAGCTCTGTGTCCAAGCACATTAATAGAGAGGCGAAGGGAAGGAAAAGATGTGGTAGAAAAAAGTGTACAAGCAAAAGGGATAACCGCACCCTGGAGAGGATTGTGAAACAAAACCGATTCAAAAATGTGGGGGAGATTCACAAAGAGTGGACTGCAGCTGGAGTCAGTGCTTCAAGATCCACTACGCACAGACTTATGAAAGACATGGGTTTCAGCTGTCGCATTCCTTGTGTCAAGCCACTCTTGAACAACAGACAGCGTCAGAAGCGTCTCACCTGGGCTAAAGACAAAAAGGACTGGACTGCTGCTGAGTGGTCCAAAGTCATGTTCTCTGATGAAAGTAAATTTTGCATTACCTTTGGAAATCAGGGTCCCAGAGTCTGGAGGAAGAGAGGAGAGGCACAGAATCCACGTTGCTTGAGGTCCAGTGTAAAGTTTCCACAGTCAGTGATGGTTTGGGGTGCCATGTCATCTGCTGGTGTTGGGCCACTGTGTTTTCTGAGGTCCAAGGTCAATGCAGCCGTATACCAGGAAGTTTTAGAGCACTTCATGCTTCCTGCTGCTGACCAACTTTATGGAGATGCAGATTTCATTTTCCAACAGGACTTGGCACCTGCACACAGTGCCAAACCTACCAGTACCTGGTTTAAGGACCATGGTATCCCTGTTCTTAAGTGGCCAGCAAACTCGCCTGACCTTAACCCCATAGAAAATCTATGGGGTATTGTGAAGAGGAAGATGCGATATGCCAGACCCAACAATGCAGAAGAGCTGAAGGCCACTATCAGAGCAACCTGGGCTCTCGTAACACCTGAGCAGTGCCACAGACTGATCGACTCCATGCCACGCCGCATTGCTGCAGTAATTCAGGCAAAAGGAGCCCCAACTAAGTATTGAGTGCTGTACATGCTCATACTTTTCATGTTCATACTTTTCAGTTGGCCAAGATTTCTAAAAATCCTTTCTTTGTATTGGTATTCAGTAATATTCTAATTTTCTGAGATACCGAATTTGGGGTTTTCATTGGTTGTCAGTTATAATCATCACAATTAAAAGAAATAAACACTTGAAATATATCAGTCTGTGTGTAATGAATGAATATGATATACAAGTTTCACTTTTTGAATGGAATTAGTGAAATAAATCAACTTTTTGATGATATTCTAATTTTATGACCAGCACCTGTACCTATTTAATCTATGAATGAACAACAATATAAACTGTGTGCACATTTTTGTTTGTAAATATGCACATAGTTGGCTTGTATGGGTTTACTTTTGACTGGCAGCACACTCTTGTCATAGATGTAGGTATGCAAATACACCACAGTGAGGTCATCAGTATGCAAATTAGCATATTACATCATCTAGTGACATTAGCGACTTTTCCGTGAGGCTTTAGCTGTTTGTTGTTAACTAGTCACATCTTAACTTTTCAGGATGGCACAACATTGCTGAGTATTTCACTGTAGTGGTCTTGTAACATTTGAATGTCTGTGTAGTACTTTTATCAGTTGTTTTTGTTTGCATCTGCTGCTCAGTATTAGCCAGTGCTAAAATGTCTCTTTCATTACAGGTGGTGGAGTATGTCTATGCTAAGGGCATGGCATTCCACTACCCTGAACCTATGGACAAGAATGGCTTTGTACGTGCAACTGTCTGGAACACCGACTACGACTCCTTCCTGCCGGACACCTATGACTGGCCAGGTGTCAGCTTCAGTCCCAAGACTAGTTAGAAGTAAAACAGACCCTCACTGTGCCCCATGTCATAATGTCACTCTCTTCTTTTGCTCTCCACTTTATTCTTAATGGCAGATCTTTTGACGTGACTGTAGTTATCTTAGTGCAGACTTTCTAATGTAAAAAGGCTGTACAGGTTCCTTACTGCTGCCATGTCACTGCATTTGCACTACACCATTCTTGCTATATTTGTTAAAAAGTAGAGTGGAAAGTGGCACTTGAAGGAGAAGGGCATTGAGTGGAAATGGTCCCCAGTGTCCCATGTAAATGTAGACAGCACCAGGAGGGCCATCTAGTGGTGGATAGAGGCAATGTGGAAATGTGGTTTCTTTAAGACCTTCTTTGTTTTGAGAACAAAATTTATATTTAGGAAATTATATTGAAACGTGTTGTGTATTATGCTCAGTAGCAATAGTTGTGCCACTGCAGCAGGTTAAAGTACAGAATAGTAGACATAACTCTAGATTTTGTGCTGTCATGCAGGAAATATAACATGCAATATTGTCATTTTCACCCATTTTAAAGGGTAAATTTGCACTCCATATTTAAAGTAATGGTTCTGTTTTATTTTTGTTGTTTTGTACACCACCAATGCTTGATTGTAAGTTTGATCAAAACTGAACACTCCATTCACTGCTACTACTAGCTGTCAGACTTAAAGCACAGATTTTAAAATGGAGTACAGAGTTCTACACTGCCTTTTTCCACACCAGATGTGTTTAAAATGTATGCTTGAAGCCTTAAAGGATTAAAATGTTGAGCCTTTCTTTGCAAACCAAGACAGAAATAGAGGGACCAGTGTAAGTCGGGAGGGATGGAGTGAGTACTTAATGAGACATCAGAACAAAAAGAAGGGAAACTAAATAAAATTTATTTCTAAAAAACTCCTTCACCTAGACGGCACTCATGAAACCAACATTCACTTTTAAATGCTCTAATTGCATTGTATTTATTTGAAGTTATTTTATTTTAATTTTGGGGGGTATATTTAGATCCATCCATCCATTTTCTTCCGCCTGTCTGAGATCTGGTCATGGTGGCAACAGGTAGCCCAGACATCCCTCTCCCCGGCAATGCTTTTCAGCTCCTCTGGTGGGATTCCAAGGCATTCCCAGGCCAGATGAGATATATAATTTCTCCAGCATGTTCTGGGTCGATTCCAAGGTCTCCTATCAGTTGGACATGCCCGGAAAACCTCCAAAAGGAGGCACACTGGAGGCATCCTGATAAGCTGAACCAAGTCAACTGGCTCCTCTCAATGTGAAGGAGCAGTGGTTCTACTCCAAACCCCTTCTGGTTGTCCAAACTCCGCACCCTATCTCTAAGGCTAAGTCCAGCTACCCTGTGAAGGAAACTCATTTCGCTGCTTGTATCCACAATCGTATTCTTTTGGCCACAGCTCATGACTATAGGTGAGGGTTGGGACATAGAGTGAGTGGTAAATTGAGAGCTTTGCCTTTTGGCTCACCTCCTCCTTCACCACGACAGTCTGGTACAGCATCCACATTACTGCTGGTGCTGCCCCTATCTGCCTGTCAATCTCATGCTCAATTTTACCCTCACTCGTTAACAAGACCCTGAGATACTTTAACTCCTTCATGTGGGGCTGCAACACCAGCCCAACCTAGAGGGAACAGACCACCGTTTTCCAGCAGAGCACCATGGCCTCCAACTTGGAGGTGCTAACTCTCATCCCTGGCACTTCACACTTGGCTGCAAACTGCCCCAGTGCATGCTGGAGGTCACGGTCTGATAAAGCCAGCAAAATCACGTCATTAGCAAATAGCAGAGATGCAATTCTAAGGTCCCCAAACTGGACACACTCCTTCCCAGCTGCGCCTTGAGATCCTGTCCATAAAAAATACAAACAGGATCAGTAACAAGGGACAACCCCAACAAAGTACAACACCAACTGGGAACGTGTTTCACTTCTTGCAGAGTATGTATACACAACTCTCACTCTGGTTTTACAAGGAACAGATGGGTTGTACCAACGACCCCGGTAGCCCATACTCCCAAAGTACCCCCACAAGATCCCATGAGGGACCCTGTTGTAGGCTTTCTCCAAGTCCACAAAGCACATGTAGACTGGATTGGCAAACTCCCAAGATCCCGCCAGTAGTCTTGCAAGAGTAAAGAGTTGGTCCACTGTTCCATAACCAGCACGGAATCTGCATTGTTCCTCCTAAATCTGAGGTTCAACAATCAGTCTGAGCCTCATTTCCAGCACCCTGGCATAGGCTTTCCCAGGGAGGCAGAGTATTATGATACCTCAGTAATTAGAGGACCCTCTCTGCCCCCCCACCAAGACAGCCCAATTATGTCCAGAGCTTTCAGCAGCTCAGGCCACAAGGACCTTTGTCCCTCAGAGACCTCTGCCAGAGTTATGGGTGAGGCTTCCCCTGAGACTTCAAACTCTGCCTCCTCCTTGGAGCACATATCAGACAGGTTCAGGAGTTCCTCAAAGTGCTCCTTCCACCACCCAATAATATCTCTAGTCCGAGTCAGCAGTTCTCCTCCCCTGAAAAACACAGCCTGGTCCAAACCCTTTTTTCCCTTTCTGAGCTGTCGGGCGGTTTGCCATAGCTTCCTTGAGGTCAGCCGAAAGTTCTCCTCCATAGCTTCCATGGACTCGTCTCACACCAGGGTTTTTTCATCCGCAACCATTTGAGCCACAGCCATTTTGGCCCAGCAGTACCTATCAGCTACTTCAGAAGACCCCCTGGGCCAACCAAGCCTGGAAAGCTGCCTTCTTCAGCCTGATGATTTCCTTGACCGCTGGTGGCCATCGGCACGTTCTCAGATTGCCACCACAACTGGTACCAATGACCTTTTGGTCATAACGCAGAGTAGCTGCTTCTACAAAGGAGAATTTGAGCATGGTCCATTTGAATTCCATGTCCCCAGCCTTCCCTGGGATGTGAGAGAACTCCTTCCAGAAGTGTGAGTTGAAGATCTCGTGGACAGGGGGTCTCAACCAGTCATTCTCAGTGCACGCTCACTACACATTTGTGTTTTCCAGGTCTGTCCTGCAGCCTCCCTTACCATCTGTTCCAGAGCTAAGGCTATGTGTGGAGGTAAACCTGACTATATCTAGTCCTCCTGCACAATCTCTGGCTCCTGCCCCACCAGAGAAGTGACATTCCACAAACCTAGAGCTAGCCTACGCAACCAGGGATCAACATGCCCAAGTATCTTCCCTAGCCTGCCACCCAACTTGCTTAACACCCGGCCCCGATTCCTTTCCCTGCAGTTGTTGGGGTTTACCTGCATGGTCCATGTCATTTCTGCAGGCTATGCCCGACCGGACTGAATGAGCCAAGGCCTGGCCACCAAGACTCTTGTCAGCGAGCTCCTCAGCCAGGTTTTACCCCTGCAGGATTCCCCAGTTTCCCTAATGCGGGTGAGGTAGCACAATTCAAAGTGGTCATTTTCATCAGGGTTTTGTTACCATCCCTGAAAATGAATCCTTATGCTGCAGTATGATATACAAAATTAATCTACACTCAGTTGGCAATTTATTAGGTACACCAAATTAAAATTAATGTGGACTAATAAAGTAGTTTTGCAGGAAAATCCTCCCTTTACTAAAGTTCAACTGAATGATTAGTGCCCCTGCTGTGCTCTACTGTGAGGTGTTTTGTCCAGGCCATTTATGACAATAAAGCTAGGTTACATAATACAAACGGTTCTCTGTATCTGTTCTAAGTGTCAGTAGGGAAACATGTTTCTGTTGATGTAAAAAAAAATTTACTCAGACCTTCTTTTTTTTTGTGGTAGGTGTTTTTTTATTTTTAGGTTTTATATACATTACTTGAGCCAAATACAAAATATAGTCAGATATACTGTATGTTTAAATATTTATAGTAGGCCACTGTGCATTTTAACTGCAGTGACATGCCTGCACGCACAATGTTTAGTGTCTGTTCATAGTTGCTGCGTGCTTCAGAGCATGCTGAGCTCTATTTAAAAACAGTACAAAAAGAAATACAACAGCCTTTTCTTTGATAGAATATAAAGCATGTGGTTGTGAACATAAAGGCATAGTTTTCTACTCGTAGTTTCTAAAACAATTTTATTTAAAAGCACCTTATAAAATAGTTCATCTCCGCTAAATGTTAGCTCATGATACTTCATCCAGTTGTTTTTCCATGGTGTAGGAATTTGCTGATTGGTTTGCTCAAGCTCTTATTGTTCCCATAAGTAAAATTTCCTCTATATTTTACTGAAGTGTTCACTCACATAATGCTACATCCACTGTGTCTGTGTTTCTGAAGTTTATTTGCAGTACACAGTAATACTGCCTTATTTGTACGCGGAGGGCAGCATGTTTGTGCTACTTCATAATAGGCTACTTAATGCGATGTAAAATTGCAGAATAAAACCAATTTTATTCTGGCTCCCTTTCTGCTGATTTTAACTTTGAAAAATGTTTCCTGGAATTTATACATCAACATTTAGATTTGTTTGTTTCCAGTGCTTTAAATATAAGTATTTTATGGCGTTTTCTAGTCCTGAATGTAAATGAACATGTAATAAGGAATATGATTCTAATACTAATTATTGCAGGGACCTCTTTTATCCGTGTTAATGGAGAAATAAATTTGTAACCAGAGTTTCTCAAGGATATTTATGCAGTTGAGATGTGCGTCACTTTTTGTAATGTAAGTGCGTAATTATAGACGTCAAAATTACGATAATTCAGCAATTACGATGAACACCGCATCCGCCGTTCATCTACGTCATCACAGTGAGACGGTTTTACAGGAAGCATGGAACACTGTTCAGTGTGGTAACTTTGGGACGATGGCCATGGATATGACTTTCCTCGGCACTGGTTCAGCTTACCCGTCTCCTCACCGCGGTTCCTCGGCTCTAGTGCTGCGGACGGAGGGGGAGTGCTGGTTGTTTGACTGCGGAGAAGGAACCCAGACCCAGCTAATGAGGAGCCAGCTCAGAGCCGGTGAGTCCTTGCTACTGCTCATACAGCTTGTCTTACTTATCAAAGTTTTGGGGACATTTAAACGATGTTCAGAGTTAACTTTGAATAAATGTATTCACCAAACCCTGTTTTTACCTTTGCTAAATTAGAGTACAGTCGAAATCTATCAGATTTTAAGATACAGTATAGGAATGGTGGACATGAGTTATTCGACTACTTGAACATTTGGCTTGTTCAAATGAAAATTTAATTTTACTGTGATTTCTTGACCTTGACCTTTTTTTAATTTTATGTGAATTATTAACATACTGTCTTATAACTGTCAGAATATAGGATATTGGAAACGATAAATGCCTGATAACTGAAAGTAAAAAAGCACAGCCTTCTGTATTCACTATTTAAACATTTTAATTTTGTGGATGCTGAGTAAGCTTACCACATACTAGTAAGGCACATTCTTGGGCCAGACCCCAATTTTACGACATTTTTCAGGAGAGGGCCAGACCCCATTTTTCACACATACTATAGTAAGGCATAGGCATTGACCCACACTTTCTCAAATTTCCCATTATTATAACATTTGTAGTGTGTAATAATGTCATATTTTCTATCCAGGTCGAATCACCAAGGTTTTCATCTCTCACTTGCATGGTGACCATGTGTTTGGTTTGCCCGGTCTCCTTTGCACAGTGAGTCTCAACAGTAACCCCGACCCTCAGCAAAACCTGGGTTGTGTGGACATCTATGGGCCACGGGGCCTCCGCCACTTTCTCAGGGTGACCCTTGGCCTCACAGGGTCGCAGCTGCTCTTCCCTTATGCAGGTAGGTCTAAAATATACCGTCTGGGCTTTGATGTTCACACTATAGGCTTAATAACACACCTGATCTAAAGGTTTTAACACAGCTGCCACAGAGTGTGTTACACATTCAAACGAACGGGTAATCTATTATGACTTTTCAGGGAAACACAAATTATGCCCTGAAAGCAGAGACAACAGCTAAGAAACTCTACTTCTGTGTGGTGTCACTATGATTGCTACCTTCATGTTAGCTTATACATCTGCAACTCACAGGGGGTGCATGAAGTCTTTATAATAAACTGTTTTTCATGACAACAGAGCATCATAGCTATGTGCCATGCAAGATATTTAAGCATTTCTTGCTATTCTTTTTTTTTAAGTTTTTTTTTATGCACTTTAGTTATTCTACTCTGATCTTATCTCTGCAATGTGTGTTACTGTAGTACATGAGCTGGAACCCACACCTGACCAGAGTCCAGAAGAGGGACACCTCAGTCTGGAGGTATGTGACTGGATTTGGTGTTTTTCCTGTGTGGACACGATCACACCTCGACTCACTTTATCATGCAAATACCGGAATAATGTATTTGTTTTACCTCATTCTATATTTAGATTTTTCTCAGTGATTTAAAATTTTATGTAATTCTGATTTGCCTCTGCTATTAAGCCTGAAACATCACAACTCTAATGAACCTGCGTTGTATTTTCACCAACCCCAGTGAATTGTATAATGAATCTGAACTTACAATACAGCTGAAAAATTTCACTCTCGTGAGGAAAGCTAAATGCTTTGCAAACATGCGAAGTGTGGAAATCTGCATTTCCAATTTGTCCTCTGCTATTTTGCTTTTTAATTTGCATGATGTGTTGTGGAAGATTTTTGTAAGCCCAAGAAGTTTTCTTAAACCATGTAAGCATTACTGTTTGGTGTTTTAACTCATTGGTTTTTCTCTCTTCAGATGACATCAGGCCACAGTCCTCTGCACCCACAGGAACAACCGGGAAGGACGATCTCTCTGGACATCTCTCGTGACTGCTACCTTCTCTTTGAAGACAAGAAGTTTGTGGTCAAAGCCTTCAGGTTGTTCCACCGTGTCCCTTCCTTTGGTTTTTGCATTCAGGAGTGTGATCGACCTGGAAGACTGAATACAGAACTACTGAAAGAACTAGGTAAAAATCTGTTCTAGTTACATCATTTAGGTGGAAAATTGAAGTGGTGAGAGATCTGAGAGATCTGAACTCAAGTATCTCTAGTTCAGTGATTGAACATGGTAATCCAGGAATTCTGTTTTATTATAACAGGTAAAATCCATTTTGTTGTGTGAAGAGCAGATCAAAAATGTTTCAAAAATTATTGATGGCTTTATTGGTTGGAGTTTTACCATCATATTTAAAATGCACATTTCCTCAGCAGGTATAGTGAGAGAAAAGATTTTAACAATCACTTAAAAGATATAAATTGCATACATATTTATTTTGTAATAGTAAACTATACGAGTCTAATTTGCACAGGAGCCACCAAAAGTATTTCAGGAAAAAAAACGTGGATTATTGTGACTGGTCTCATTTTGTTTCCCTCAGGTCTGAAACCAGGGCCTCTGTACGGGCGTCTCAAAGCTGGGGAGTCTGTAACTTTGGAGAGCGGGCGTGTGGTGCTACCTCAGGAGGTGCTGGAGGAACCCATTCCAGGGAGGAAAGTCTGCATTTTAGGGGACTGTAGCTCAGTTCTGGGCGAAGGACCACTGACATTGTGCAGTGGAGCGGATATTCTGGTTCATGAGGCGACTCTGGGGAATGAGCACCAAGAGAAAGCAGTGGACCATGGACACAGCACACCTGAAATGGCGGCGGCGGTGGCTCGGGCCTGCTGTGCGCAAAGGCTGCTGCTGTACCACTTCAGTCAGAGGTACAAACCCAGTGCATTGCAGAAGGAAGGGGATGAGGACAGTGTTTCGGAGCTCAAGAGACAGGCTGAAGAAGCGCTGCAGGACAGTGGTATAGAAGTGACTCTGGCTGAGGACTTTATGACTTTGCCCATTCCTCTCAAAAGGCCAAGGTAATGTTTAGTTTTCTCTTCATTTCTTTTTTCCTTTAGGCAGTTGACCGCTTGTTATACACCGATCAGGGATAACACAACCACCTGTACATCTGTATGCACTTCAATGCAACACTTCTGCCTTAACATTTGTGTTTATGAAGCTCAGTGTTTCAGTTTTTGGTGAGATTGTCATAAATGTATAAATTCAATTATATATCCATTATTGAGGTCATAGTTAAAGGTGGTGTTGTACTGGACTACATTATATTCAGAGGTGTCTGTATATTTTTGTCCTTCCCATTGACATACATGAGGGTCAGAATATTAGGAACACCTGTGAATATAATGTAGTCCAGTACAACACCACCTTTAACTATGACCTCAATAATTGTATTGAATTTATACATTTAACAATATCACCAAAAACATATTTTGAGCTTCATAAACACATAGGTTAAGGCAGAAGTGTTGCATTGAAGTGTGTACAGGTGGTCATATTATGCCTGATCGGTGTACATGTATAATATTCAAACATGACAAATTAAAAACATCTCAGCTTTAGGGCCACTTGTTTGTTTTGGAACTTTTGACCATATCACATGGTCTTCATCAGCAGATGGAGTTTGATTACTTGTCATGGAACTAAATGTTTATACCTTCTGACGCTGTCCATGTTGACTCAAATGTTAATTGCAATGTTTTTTTTTTTCCTCGACCTTGGAAATGGCAGTTGATAAAACAATTTTGCTCAAGGCTCACCAATTGCTTGCTTTGGGCTTTCAACTGTCTCACATGGTTTTCGCCATGTACGCTCAAGCTAAAAATTTAAGCCAACACAGACAAGATGCCAAAAGCATGCTCAGAAAACCTGAACATCTAAGATTCTGACAACTGAGCAAACTACTCGTAGGTTCATCCTGCTGATGAACATAGTAATATGGTCAAACTCCACAGCAAGCAAGTGGACTTGTGAGCAGACATCAACTGCTATTTCCATAGTCAAGCATGAAGCTAGTAGGGATTTATACCATGTTGCATTAATTATTAATTCTCCAAATGGGTCTCTATTAAGTCTAAATTATTGACTAGAAATTATTCTAATGAAATTGTATAATTAAGTTTTGTTCTAGTATGTAATGTTAATACAGAACTCAATACTAAGGGGAAGTGAATTACATTCACCGCAAAACAAATTTGGAGTATCTTACTATTATGAGATCTTTTCTCTTAATTCTGAGATGATGCATGGGTTGGAACACTGCAGAACTCACCTGAAAATCATCAGATTTTAATGAACTCTTTAGTGTCATTGTAATTCTGTGACAGTTGTCAGTACAGCTAGTAGGTACATAGCAAAAGTGGACTGTTAATAGCTAATTTGGCATACTTGGTGTTCCACAACATAAACAAATATAGGCTAAAAACAGGCTTCAGAGTCGCTGGCTGTTGTGTACTCACTATATATATGTACTGAGGAGTTGGAAAGCTTCAGAATCGGCTTGAGAAACACTGGGTTTTTTTTTAAGACTTTTTCAGTATGAAATAAATTCTGTCAGTACATCCAATAAAAAGGAAATGTTAGTTAATTCGGCATACTTGCTGTTCCAAAACGAACAAATAAAGCCTATGATAAAAACATACTTCCCGTTTCTCATCAAAGGTTAACTGTTCACATGAGGGGTGACTATGAAGTGTTTCTCTTAATTACCAGATCCTGAGATCACGGTTGCTATTTAAGAAGACAAATATTAGAGGTTACAACTGTCCAATGAATATGAGCTTAAGTAGCTTTTTTTTCCTCCAATTATTCAGTATTTTGGAAAATGTCACATTAGATGTTGAAAGTTCAATCATGTGAACAGACTGTACTTTCACAGGAAATAAAATGTTGCCATAGGCCTACATGTGTGTGTGCTGTTGGCGCCATTCTTAACCTATATTTGTTTTAAACCGCCAAATTAACTATTAATAATTAATTTTTGCTATGTGCTATTGGATGTACTGAATTACATTCATACTGAAGAAATCTTAAAAACCTAATGTTTCTCAAGCAGGTTCTAAAGCTTTCCAACTCCTCAGTACAGTACAGTTACACAGCGGGCAAATGTGAAGTCTGTTTTTAGCCTACATCTGTTTATGTTGTGCAACACTAAATATGCCAAATTAATGAACTGCGATGATGCTAAAGAGTTTAAAATCTGATTTTCAGGCAGGTTCTGCAGTGTTCTAACACCTGCGTTATCTCATTGTTACAAGAAAAGATCTTGCAATTATGAGATCAGGATCTCATATTTTCTAAATCTGATCTCATAATTGTAAAATAAGATCCTCCATTTTTTTTCTCTTTGGTGAATGCAATGCACTTACGTACAGAAGCAGTAACGTCTCTTCACATCTTCTGAGCGATGATAAATGAATTGCTTGTGACCATCTTCGAACCTTTTCCAGAGCTTTATTCCTGGATCTGTACACAAGGTATTAAAGTACAACAGAACATACAAAATAATGTTTAACAAAAGAAAAACAACTCAATGTTTATGTACAATTTTATAAACAATAAAGATAGCTTTTTGAACATTTTTCATAGTGAAGTTTTGATTGTCTATAATTCTGGATATACATTAAGTTTTGTAGGTTTTTATTCACAAAGGTATCTTTGTTTTCAAAAGACTGCTTTCTTTTTCAAAACCACAACTGCTGTAATTTTTTCCCTTTTAAACTTCAAAACACAATACAAAATATAAAATAAATTTTAGTGCTTTCGTGCACACACACACACACACAAGTCTCATACAAGAGATATCAATAAAATATCACATTTTGGAGAGTTCACAGGGAGGTGAAAAACCTACTACTACTTAATGGCCTCTACATTCTGACAATTTTTCTGTCTTTGTACAAACCACAGGTGAAATAAATATCACTGCACTGCTAAAGCTAGAAGAGCTTGGAGGACCTACTGCATTATGCACATTGCATTAAAAGAAACTAGCTCTCCACAGCAGCCATCCCTTTACCATTAGGACAAATGTAGACATCAAAAAAAGGTTTTGAGGAAAGAAAGATGAACATCTTTTACACATGGCTGCAAGTTTCGAATGCAAAATTGCAACACTGAATAATATCAATACGTCTTCAGGTAAAGCCATTTTCAGTGGTTGCCAAAGACACAGCTAGCATGCCTGGTTTCAGCTGTGTCCTGCCGTCTGGGTCTCATGACTTTCTAAAGAGGGGAATAGTTTTCACCACCAAGTCAACCGGTAAAATGCAAAACCAAACTATCTGTACATATCTACAAATTATTGCCTTTTTGACAAAGAATCAAATTAAAACCTTTGTATCAACACAGATTCACAAGTGTAAGAGGTCAGTTAATAGACTCTTTAAAGGCTATTTGCTAACTATTTACATGAAATGCAGAAGTGAGTATCTATGGTGCTGGGCTTGGACACCAAATATCTTGAACATAATGATTTAGAGGCATGAAACACATCTGTACAAATAATGGTGAAATAAGATATATGGACATAAGCATAATGTACCCCTGAAACAAACTATTCATAGCATGATGCATAGATAAATCAAGTAAACACTACTACTGCATCCAATCAACTGATGACCCGCTAAACATTTTACAATTCGCAATGGTGGACTTCAGGCAAGAGAAAACAGCTCCACTTCTGCTATTAGACTCTAGAAAATGTTGACCAGATTATACAAGGCATTCTCTAGTCAGTACAGGTTAGGCAGAAGCTGAGTATAAAATCAGAGTGGCAATAACTAAAGAGAATAATGCTAGCAGGCAAGTATTGCCAAGCTTGCTAAATTGTCTGAATATGGCACTACTCGATTTAGAAACATATTGTAGCATTTTGACACAACTAAAGGACGTATCCAGCTACAAGTGCTATAACAGTAGTGCGAGTTGAAAGGATTAAACAAAATCTCAAAGGGTAAAAGTATATGCAATAAATACAAACTTTACTGAACTTGATGTCTGTTTAAATGGCTATTAACCCAACTGATATTTTTGCATTGCAATATTGCTGTTATCAGTGCCTGACTGACTGATATCCTCCTTGTAAGAAGTCGGAGGGGGGGATAAAGGCAAGACTCCCATTACCTTACTGTGCACGCTTATTCTTCATCTGTTCAAAAATGTACAACTGCTACTCAGGAACAATAATTTGGGTTCAACTACATGGAATTAAAAGATACTGTTGCAAATGTTCCCATTTTCCAGTTTTGCCATTTCGAACAGTTTAAAAATAAACGAGCACACAAAGGTCAGACAAGCAATCGAAAGAAAAAAAAATAAAACAAAACAAAATGAGGTGAAGGCCTCAGCTATGACATGTCCTGGTTTTCAAGCTATCTCCATGCTAGTGTTGCTCTTCATACAATATCTAGCCAGGTTTATCTGAGGACCAATCTGGTTACTAAAAAATACCTGTAAACCCAACACTATTTAAAAAAACAGTACCGGTTCTCAAACAACAAAGACAGGCAACTAAATACTAAACTAGAGGCAGAAAACTAAGCCAATTTTGGCAGCTGAAAAAGATGGCAGGATAACATACTGTAGCTCTGAAGATGTTGTGTGTAGATGTGAGGGAGGAAAACACACAACTCTCCTACTGCAGCCTCTGGGCCCCACTGTACTTGGACGTTACACATTGCAAAACTAAAATAAATGGCTATATAGACTCTTGAGAGAAATCAAGATTTTAGTTCTAAATGATAGACATCACTGATGTCATATTACACATAAAATGAAAACAAAGTATATTCATATACATATATTTAGATATGCATTTATTTATATATATATATATATATATATAAGTCTTTATGTACAAGAGAGTAAGGGGATTCAAAAGGGAAGAGCAAGGGAAGACTGACTCACTCTGACTGAAGTGCTGCAGTGTGCTGTGTGTGGTGCCGTGCATGTGCTCCCAGAAAGCCATTGGGCTCACCGCTGCCAGCCAAGCTCCCAAAGTCTGTGACGGATACTGCCATTTTGGTGCCGGTAAGTCGGTGGTGGTGCGTTGTTGTCCGTCGTGCTTCAAAGTCCACTCCAAGGTTACCCACTGAAACGTCACTGATGAACGAGTCAGGCAGCGCCATCTTGAGTCTTTTGGAGGGCCGCTCGCAGTCCTTGGTGACGCACACCCCTCCTAGCTGGCCCAGGTCAGAGTGGTAGAAGCCGGCGTCAAGCATATTGAGGCAGTCGGAGTCTGCACCGTTAGAAGGGAACCCAAGGGATTCGTCATGGGTCAAGGACCCACGATGGAGACTTTCCAATGGCGGAAAGCTGTAGGAGTCCAGGCAGTTAACCTCTGCAGGGCTGCACACTGTAGCTACACTGTTACTCAAAGCTGCAAAGAGAACGGACAAACTAGCTGAGCATCAACTGAAAGCAACATTAGAGTCAGCAAGGAGCACAATGAAATGAGGGCAGACGATAACAAATGGGGAATGAATACAATAGTTATCTATGATGTTATCAAGTACTTCACAAGTTTGTTCCTTAAGATCCATTACTGACCTGAGAGGTCACTGGCTGTGATAGAGTTGAGCAGGCTGAGCTGCTGGTCTGTGGTAGTCTCCAGCCTTCCTCCTCCACCTGCTCCCGAACACACAGAGGATGAACTGTCCACTGCCAGGCCTTCTGCTTCATCCACCAGCCTGTCCATCAGGTCACTGAATCCAAAGATGTTTAGCTCTTAAATGGGTTTGTTTCTTTCAAATTATGTACTTTCTTTTTTCAATTTTCAGAGCTCACTGTATACATAACCAAAAACACAAAAGGGGAATGCATATAGCTAATCTTCTGGCACTTACGTTACACCAGGATAGCTGCTGTATTTTTTCTTCCCAAACCGATTCTGCTGCACAAACAAGTCAAAGCGCTCCGACTTTTTCCACATGTAATAAAATGCCACACATTCTGCTACTGTTCTTGTTGTCACCTAAAGGGGAAAAACAATTAAGGATTAGGAACAAGCAACTCTGCCAGCTTTATATATGTATCATTTAACACCTGACTAAGACATCATGAAATAAGACTCACTTTGTGTTTCTGTATGAGGTGAAAATTCTTGTCATACATCTGTAGTGCGTGTTCAAAGTTCTTGCATTCCTCTTCTGACCACGGAGGTGATTTTTCTGAAATGAAACAAGAAAAAAAAAAAAAAAAAATTGTTTATACGTTGTCGGTGCTAATGAGTAAACAAAAAGCCCTACCATGAAAAAGCAATTATGCATTGTTTTTTTCTTGGTAGGGCTGTGTAAATGGATTTTACAGGTCTTTTAAAACTAATAACTCAAGACAAGAACTATGTCAAATATCAAAACCCTCCTCAACATGTCATAATGGATGTTCAAATCCAAACAAACTCCTGAAGGGGACGCCTGGCTGGTAACACTGAAAAATATCCACGATCAATAGGCAGCTGCTTTACACTGTATACAATCCATGATTACACTGCCCAGCAGAAATGAAAGCTGCATGAGTCGTTTCTGATGTGGAACAAAAAAGCGAAAAAGGTCTACTGAAATATTCCTGTGTAAATATATTTTACTTGCATTTAATTCTGTTTTCTCTGCTCTTCTTAAGGTGTACTTTGATGATTTGTAAAAACGTACAGTGGAACCTCGGTTTTCGTATGCCCTACTTTTTGTACGATTCGGTTTTCGACGACATTTTGTCCCAGTTTTTGTTCGCTCGGTTTTTGTACAGTTGATTGGTCGGTTCAGCGTCACTAGTCCGCCTGCCCTCGTGACTCGGCCACTCATTTCCTGGAATCAAGCGCCCACACAAAGCATCCCATGCGTTCGAGACTCAGTCTGCCATTGTTTTTTGTGCTTGTTGTGACTGCTAAATAAACCCCGAAGTAACCCCGGATAGGGCCTTGATACATGAAGTCCTTATGGAGGGGTATTCCCCTTCCAAACAATAGCCTCTCCTCCTCCCTCTCCCCTCCTCGTCATCTTCCATATGCCAACAAAGAGTCTTCAATGAAGTTAAAAGTGATGTTAAATGCTCATTTATCCATTTCATTAGTCATTTATATTTATTTTTCATTGTTTTCTGTATGTAAAAATATAGTTATTCTATATAAAATGGATTTTTTGTTAATATTTTTGGGTTTGTGGAACAGGTGTGTGGATTTACATTATTTCTTATGGGAAATATTGCTTCAGTTTTCGTACATTCATTTTTCGTCTGACTTTTTCGAACACAATCACGAAAACCAAGGTTCCACTGTATAATAAAAATGTCCTATAACAGTCTTCCTGCCTGCATATGTCTTCTTCTTTCGGCTGTTCCCGTTAGGGGTCACCACAGCAAATCATCTGTTTCCACCTAACTATCCTCGGCATCCTCTACTCTTACCCTGATTAACTTCATGCCCTCTTTTACCACATCCATATATCTCCTCTTTGGCCTTCCTCTTGACCTCTTGCCTGGTAGCTCCATCTCCAACATCCTTCTACCAATATAACCACTATCCGTCCTCTGCACATGTCCAAACCATCTCAATCTGGCCTCTCTGACCTTGTCCCCAAAACAGCCAACCTGAGCTGTCCCTCTGATGTGCTCATTCCTAATCCTGTCCATCCTGGTCACTCCTAAAGAGAACCTCAACATCCTCATCTCTGCTACCTCCATCTCTGCCTCTTGTCTTTTCCTCACTGCTACAGTCTCTAACCCATACAGCATAGCTGGTCTCACTACTGTCTTGTACACCTTTCCTTTGATTCTTGCTGACACTCTTCTGTCACACAACACTCCTGACACCTTTCTCCACCCACTCCAACCCGCCTGCACTCGCCTCTTCCCCTCTTTCCTACACTCCCCATCACACTGGACTGTTGACCCCAAATACTTAAACTCCTGCACCTTCTTGACCTCAGCCCCCTGTAACCTCACTGTTCCACTTCCCTCCCTCTCGTTCATACACATGTATTCTGTCTTACCATGACTGACTTTCATTCCTCTTCTTTCCAGAGCAGACCTCCACCTTTCCAGGTGTTCCTCCACCTGCTCTCTGCTCTCACTACAGATCACAATGTCATCCACAAACATCATTGTCCACGGAGATTCCTGTCTGACCTCATCTGTCAACCTGTCCATCACCATAGCAAACAAGAAGGGACTCAAAGCCGATCCTTGATGTAGCCCCACCTCCACCTTGAACTCCTCTGTCTGACCTACAGCACATCTCACTACTGTCGTACCCCTCTCATACATACCCTGAACTACTCTGACGTACTTCTCTGCCACTCCTGACATCCTCATACAGTACCACAGCTCCTTTTAAATAATTTACATTTGTCCATGGCACATTCCTCTTTTCTAATGTAGGTTCATTTAGTGTAAGTTTACTCTCAGTTGGCTGATGCTGATCGTGTTTGTCTAGGTGATGGTGTTGTTGATTCAGTAACGAGTACTTATCCAAGTGTAACCCTACCTCTCAGGTAAGGTGGCTACGTACAGGGCCAGTAGAAGGCACCGCTCCCCTGTCTCTACTTCAATACACAAATGGCTAAGTGTCGACCAAAATCATTCATGAAAATGTTATTTCGTCAAACACCACCTTCGAATATATGCAAACAACTCAGTTGTTTTGGCAAAGTGAAGTTACTTAGAAATTCTAAGACAAAATTGTAATACTTCCTGCTTAATTTCATGGTTAAAACTTGAAACGTGATTTTTGGTTTTACTAATATACATATTTTCAAATTAGATTGTACATGCAGAATACTGCAGTACACAGTGAACCTCCTATTGACTATAACAAAAATGTTAAATCAAAATTGTATTATAATAAAAGTTTAACTATGAAAACACAGGCCCACTTTTCTTAAACGTTACCTTCAGTGCCCACACAGGTGTACTCCGACACACACAGCACACTCAACCTCAACAGGCCACCTGTCTTTTTTGTATTTCACCTACAGAACATCTTTGCTGCTGAAGTCTTCACCATCTTACCAATGTCTCCTACCCTGTGGGATTGGGGTTTGGGGAGCGGAGAGCAGCACGGTGAGGCGGCTCAGACAGATCAGCTGTTCAGCACCTTTATCAAGTCAGTCTCTTTTGGTTGGCTTTTAATTCAAGAGATGTTGACAGAGATGAAAGGACAGCACACTGGTCAGTGCGGTGACTTGCCACAAGACAAATCAACCAAAAACTAGCGACTTCTAGGAGTCTACCACATAGGAAGAGATGTCACCACTTCCTGCTCAGGGGCTGACCCCAGCTCTTCTCCAGTGAAACACAGGTTTTAATGATGTGTCATGCCCCCATGTACAGAAACATGTCAGTGAAATGACCGAGAAACATAAGGAACAGCCAGTTGACAATGAGAGCAGGGTCCAACATAGAGCAGGTCACTGCTGGCCTTCTAGTCGGTCCACCGGCCAACAATGAAGCTGCAACACTCTAAACAGTCTCAGAAACTTTACACATTTTATTACAGTTAAATTATTTGGAGAATAAAAAGTTCTCATGTATGGATCCTTTGCCATCGTTTGGATTCAGTGGGTCAGCGTGTGTTCTGCCTGAGAGGATTTCACTTCTGAATGCAACTGAACCTGTGTTGAGCTGTTGCTTAAGACAAACACAGAACTGAACAGGAAGTTGTGTATATTGGGCTCTGCTGTGGAGAAGCTACGATCAGCAGAGGATTATGCTACAGGAGCGATGTGTACATTTTGATGTTTGACTGTAGCTGCCACAAGATACAAACCTTTTCAAACAGGGCAGACGCCCACACTCCCAGACCAGTCAGAAGCAGATCTCCGTATACACACCTGAACCAGAGAAATAAAACATCCAAAATGGCTCCTCTCCATCAGTTGCATAACAATACACAGATCCAAGACCTGCAGCAACACAACTGAACCTACAAGCAGTGGAGTGTGACTGAACAGTGACTGAAGTACATGGACTTTTTCCATTTTATGTAACTTCATGCTTGTACTCAACTAAAGTTCAGAGTATTGCACTTCTGCTTCCACCACATTCACCTGATGCCTTTAGTTAATTAATTTTTTATAACCGTTCCTGTACAGTGATTTTGATGGTTTCTGAGAAACTGAAGTTAATTGTTCCTTTGGAGGTTGAATAAATTCTCACTTGTTATGCCAAATAAATAAATAAAAATCACAAAGCTTAAGACAGGACTGTTAGTCATGATGATCTTAGAGAAGATGCTACACAACAGAACATAAACTACTTAAAAATTGGTTCAATCTTAAACTATTGCAGTAAAATGTAAACACTGATGCTCCAGTAACGTTAATGCAAAAAACACTGATGGGGCCATTTCTCTGCAGAATGAGTGCTTTAATTTTTTGATACTTTAAGAACATTTTGCTGATAATACTTTTGTACTTGTACCTATTCTACTTATAGGAGTATTTGCACAGTGTAGTATTGCTACTTGTACTTATAGCATCCAAGCACTTCTTCCACCACTGCCTTCAAGACAGACAAAACATTCCTCACGAGCTCCTCCTTCAGGATCACTCCTACCCCATTTCTCTTCCTGTCCACACCATAATAAAACAGTTTGTATCCCCCTCCAATGCTACGCGCTTTGCTACCCTTCCACCTGGTCTCCTGCACACACAGTATGTCTACCTTCCTTCTCATCATCATGTCCACCAGCTCTCTCCCTGTCATTGTGCCAGTGTTAAGAGTCCCTATTCTCAGACCTATACTTCTGCCTTTCCTCTTCTCTCTCAGTCTACGAATCCTTCTACCTCTTCTCCTTCTGCACCCTGTAGGTCAACAGGGGCCTCGACCGATCTGGTATGGAATTCGCACTGCTAATTCGCATGTTTAAATTTGGCATGTTTTTACGCCGGATGCCCTTCCTGATGCAACCCTCTCTATTTATCTGGGCTTGGGACCGGCACAGAAGTCACTGGCTTGCAACCCCTGTGGCTAGATTTTCCTGCCTTCATATGTACAACCAACAAATCATGAAAACTAATTGTTGGATGGTCCTGATTTTTGCTGTGTTCAGGAAGGTAAGGAAAAGTACTGATTAAACTTCATCCAGCAACTGCTGTAATGTATGTACAACGAGCAACAAATCAAAGGAAAAACCAACATTATTATAATAATAATAATAATAATAATAATAATAATCTTTATTTGTACCGCACTTTCAAGCTCAAGAGCACAAAGTGCTACAGCAATAAAAACATAGTAATACAATATCAGTTAGGAACACTCATAAACGGACAGAAGCCAAATAGATATCCAGCGTCTGATATAGGCCAACTCCCACCCAGCCGG